ACTGCTTGCAAACATTGTTGCAGCTTTTCTAAAGTGTAATCACGGTAGTTTCTCGTTCCAGGTATTTTTTTATAACGTCTGACCATTTTTCTGTCGAAAAAAAAAACGAATGAAACTTTGCACAAAGTAGCCCCAAAGTGCATTTTTTTTCATTTTCCGTTTATTTGTTATTAATTTTCAAATTTTTTTAACGCTAACATGATATAATTGTTTATTAATATATAAATAAAAAATTTTGCACTTACGACAATTGTTTTATCAACGTCTTTGCATTTCACAGCTAAAGTTTCCACGCATATTTTTCGACATCCGACGTCCTCGGAAAATTGTTGACATTGGATGAACGAAACACACTCTGAGATTGCTTTAAAATTCGAAAAAAAGTTTGTAGTAATAGAAGAGACTTCTATCTTCAAATTCCACACATTTTTAAAGCGAAAAAAACATAATACTGAATAGCAGCACTTGAAAAATGCTAAATTCGAATTTGCACAAAGTAGCCCCCGCTGCACAAAGTAGCCCCGAATGACGGTATATGAAATTATCAAACTTAGAATTTCTTGATTGTAACTCGAGAAAAGCATTTCATGTTTACTTTATTCAAAGTATGTATTTAAACTACATACAGTAAGTTAATTAGGTATCCTTTTAATAGATTTAAAAGACCCAATATTTTATTTAAAATTTTTCCCCATTTCAACTATAAAGCTAAAAATTTACAGTTAGAATTACAAATATTCGAAGCAAAAATATATACCTTTTTGAAATTAGTAATTTATGCTTTCATACCTATCTGCATAAAACATAGTAAAAGCATGATCTTGATAACTGTTTTTATCTTTTCCAATTCTTAAATTTTTAATAATTAAGTATTTGCGTTCTCTTTTTGCGAAAAAGAGGTAAATTTTATCATTATAAGCTTTATACAAGTCTATTAATATAAAACGTACCTTTAAATACAGGTCACACTAAATAAAATAGAAATTTAAGACTATGCGGTATATTGTGTTTGAATTTGTTCACAAATAAAACTTAGATTCATTGTAATAGCCAAGATATGTAGCGTTAATGAAAGCATTAGGACGTAAACCACTTATTTTTAGCCAAATACGAATGAAGTCTTACTTGGGCCACCCAAATCTGACTGGCATAGGTTTAAGAATAATATCGAAACAACATATTGTAAACATGTGAGCAACGAAAATTTGACTGGGAAAGTGAAGTAACATTTTGCAAGTACTGTTTGCTGCAACCAGGAACAATTAGTGATTCTCTAATGTTTAAGAATTAAATATTTTCAGATTCTTTATACGCTTTCTCCGCACAATGAGTACTAGAATAATTGGCTAAGAGCTTTTGTGCTATTTTAAACAGAGGTTCTTTAGAGAATTCGGGACATATGAACCAGAGATCTATTTTCAGTCCTGAATCTTAGTCTCTAGGCTAAAAATCATAGTCGTCAATATCTGAGTCCCGCAGTGGACTGATCGTTAAGACACGGTTCCCATCAGATCACCGAAGTCAAGCATCACTGGCTGCGGTCAGTATGCGGGTGGGTGACCACTTGGATCAGTCTGCGTAGGGACCGAGGGTGTGCGGTATTGGTCCTCGTTAAACTGTTCTACCGTAAAGTGCTCGATTTTGCGAGCTGGTCGTCGGGCTACGGAAGCGGGGGTGCCATACCGAAGCGGGGGTGCAGCTCTAGTGCGACGTAAATGAACTACAACAACAACTAAAACAACATCAATATCTGATTAATAGAATTTAGATTCAGGTAGTTAAGAAGACAGTTCAATTAAAGCTTCGGATTTTAGTAGCTTGTAAGAGCTAGAAGTCCTCAGAGATTTCAGGTCACGAATCTGCGTCTTACGCTCACCATCCAGATCCTAGGACTCTAAAACATTCCAGCACTAACAAGTCTACAGACAGTGTACACGAGGCAATCCAAAAATTCCAAGACCACTGAGCGAGTGCGAAAATCAAAGAGGGAGCAGAACGGCCGTCTACCACCTCCAATTTGAACCTCACACCCGTTCACAGGCCTGGAATTTTCTTTTCCAGACTAGCACATTATTTGATGCATAAAGTTAAGTCATCATATTTTACTAACGGATCGTAATGCAAACAAGAGATATCATACTAGAATAATTTTTTGTAATGTATCCTCGGATGCCTTAAGGCACAAAATAATTACGCTATCATAATCTTGCTGCTCACAGGACCACAATATGACAAATAATTCAAATGTTTCGAAGAATTTTTACAGCACTTTACCTATTTTTAAGTTTCAAATGAGACAGCTAATTTTTTACTAATAACAATATATCATTTTTGTATAAACTCCTTAGGATTCAAACGCATAACGGAAATATTTAGTTTGCCTTGAAAAGTACGACTAAAGCAAATGTGTCCTTAGTTATCGAATCGAAACTATAGAATAAAAGTATTTTTTATCTATGAGGGTTGTTTTTAGATGTATGGCCAATCAAATATCTAAGGGAGTGAATGAAAAATGAGATTGTTTAAACAACATCGGGAGTATCATTGAATTTTCTTGTACCTTTAGTGGTGTTCCGCATCAAAAGTATGTTAAAAATACGAAAAACAACTTCTAGCCGGTGAGGGAACAGGCATGTTCCTTTACTGGGCATAGATTTCCCACTGAATGAGCAGTATGTGTTAATATGTTGACACTTTAATTTTCAATTCATGATGACAAAAAAAAAGTTAACATTTTCCAAGTATTTATAAGTTATAATTTCAAGAATAGGCTCGTTTTTAAATATTTGTACGGCTTATAAATTCATAAAGAGCATTAAAAAATAACCAAAATTAAGTGCTCCTTTACTGGGTGTTCATTCACTGGTAAGAGCTGTTCCTTCACTTGGTCTTCTTACTACTTGTTATTTGAACCTCCAAAACCTTAAAACAATATTATGTAAGTTCTCTACAATTTTTGTACATAATTTGCAATTAGTAGCAAATATGTTGACACTGTCATTTAACTAAAATTACGAATTTTGAAATTAATATGATTTTTAAAAGGCAAGCGAAGCTTAAGTGTTCCTTCACTGGTTAGTTTACCCCAACTATATATTTGTATACATTTAAAAAAATTGAATTTTCAATTCTAAAATATGCTGTTTAAATTTTTGTGCTGTTAAATTGTAATTTATTTTAATGATAGTTTCTTAGTTTAAAACGTAATTTGACTTTTGCTATTTTTAATTAAATTTTATGGTGCTCTAAGTATATTTTAAATAAGTTCAAAAATTTATAGATACAAATTATTTTAATGGGCCTGTTAAAACTAATGAGTCCTCAGTAAAAAAATTTTAATGACGAGTAGTAACGTCATCGATGATGTGTTTAGAATGTTAAGACACCCATTTTAAATATAGTTTAATAAATATAAAAACTTTTCAATTTATTTTACCAAAAACCTCTTGGACAATCACAGCCGTGCAATATCAAATATCAAGTTAATACTTTTAACTCCGGGAACTATTTCAGTATTTAAAAAAAAAAAAAAAAAAAAAAAAACTTATAAAAACGCACCAAACTAGCATGTGTTTAAATTGCATAGCAAATATTTTATTAAACCTTTATAGCTTAAATTTTCCTTTGCATGATAAAACAGTAATTTAAATCCAAAAGTATAAGAATCTGAGTGTAAAACCAGGTAGATCTAATAAATAATGAAACACTATATCAACAAATATTAGTTTTACGCCTATTTCTTTAATCCAATGAATATTATGACCTTCCTACACTAAGCATACGGGGACTTCAAAATCGATAATTGCAAAGGATGCATTTGGTATTAAGTTTTTTTAGTTGATAATATTTAAAAATCAGAAATATTATAACAACAATATTATAACATAAGAAATATTATAACATAAACAAAAATTAAATATAAGTTAAGTAAAAATGTAGAAGAGAAAGAATTATATTTAAATAAATTCGATGAGTGATTTGTGTTGAATTACCTTCACGTTAATTAACACTTTGCATTATTTGGAGAAACTTGTCCCGCAGTGAACTGATCGTTAAGACACGGTTCCCAGCAGATCACCGAAGTCAAGCATCACTGGCTGCGGTCAGTGTGCGGGTGGGTGACCACTTGCATCAGTCTGCGTAAGGACTGAGGCTGTGCGGCATTGGCCCTCGTTAAACTGTTCTACCGTAAGGTGCTCGACTTCGCGTGCAGGTCATCGGGCTACCGAAGTGGGGGTGCCATCCCCTCTGCAGAGGATCAAAATTGTGATGGCATGTCTTCGGTTCATCCTCAGGGATGTTTCCCAGACCGTCGCCAATAGCCCATTGTGCAGCTCTAGTGCGACGTAAATGAACTACAACAACAACAATTTGGAGAAACTTAGCTCAACTTTAGCAAGCCATTTTGCTTATAAACGATCAGCTGGCGCAGACGTCATAGGTCACATGTGTGGGTATTTTTGATCTCCTTCTTCTCGAAGTGCAAGTACCCAATTGCATGGTATTGCCAATGAACGAAGTTCTGCTAAATAAGCAATAATGCTTTCTCCCTCGTGTTGTTTTCGATTAAGGAAAATATGTCTGCTAGGAATAATGAATGGTTTTGGGTGAAGATGATCTTTAAGAGTGTTTTTTTTTAAGGTTTCAAAATCAGCTTCAGCTGAATTGTTGGGTGCCAACAAATTTTTTAACAAATTATACAATTTAGCTGATAAGCTGGAAGCTAATGTTTCCGCTCATTTTTCATTTGGAACAATTTGTATGTCCAAAAATAAATTAGCCGTATGTATACAACAGTCAGACTTCCGGCCATCCAGCGTTCCTTTTAAGTCTTCAAATTGTACATAAAAATTTTGGAAAAAGAATAGAATTAGAATAGGAAAAAGAATAACTTTAGAATACCCTAAAATATTCCTCAATATTAGTTAGTAATTCAATATAAGAGGTATTAGCGTTTATAGATTGTCACGGAAAGCAAGAGTTTATTGTCCTTCAGAAGTGGCTACCAGCTGTGACCTAAGAAGCAAAGCGACAGTGAGGCTACGATGTTCTTGATTCTCTACAATAAGAAAGCGAAAAAATTTTGAACCGAAAATTTTTTTTTTTGACTAAAACATCCATTTTGAGCTTATGCATTTCAACAATTACGCAGAGACAGTGAGAATACTTCCTCAAAATGAAAAAGAATTTTACCAAAGAGTCGAAAGTGTAGAAGAAATAGGCCACTGGAAACGGTTAAATACAAATTTCTGAAAACAATAACATTTGACATAGTTTGTGATATATATTTTTTATTCAACTTTGTAACTTACATTCGTTGGTAAGAATATATGTATTCATCTTTATTGTAAAAACAATTACTATTATTCATCTGTGAAAATATCTGTCGAATTGCTCGCTCTTTATTTTCTAATAATTGCTTCTCATAGCAAACTTGTACTATACTAAAATATTTGTTACCTGCCTCAAACTAAAATATTCTTTTAGTTTATTTTCTATTTATTGCTTATCATATTTTTTTCAGAAGAGTTGTTTTTATCTCAGTTTCCAGTTTAAGGCATTTGTAAAATGGGAAGAAGTAGATCTCGGTCGCCTCCTGGCAGAAGAGGTAAACAGCAAACTTTATTTTTCTACTTGAAACAAATAAATTTATATTATATTTGTACATAAAAAACTTATTATGGCGCAATATTTATCTATTATCATTAGGAGAATATTTATCCAAAAATATTTTCTCCAAGGAAAATGCCTAAGCTTTCTAAAGTTTTTTGTCTGTTACCTTTATGTTTTTTTAGTGTAGGAGAGAGGGAGGCACCTTTCAACATTTTTTGCTGACGAATTATTTGGGAAGTTTTATTGCTTTCAAAATCTAAGTTCTAATTTTTATTTACTGAATTCATATTTGAGGTAACCTCTCTATTTTTTCCAAAGGTCTAAGCCAAAGACAAAATACCTAATTTTACATATTTAGTGAACCATGTATTTATTTGAAATCTTCCCCTCCTGGGGGGCAGTTTTCAACTGGTGGTGGGGCGCATTTCAACAATTAAAGAGAACATAACAAGATCATACATTTTGGAATATTAACTTTTCATAAAATAATAATAATAATGAAATTGGACATATTGGATTGATTTAGGTTTTTTCTACATTATTTTGTCTTTAATTAAATCAAATTTTACGGAGAATGTCAGTTTCATTTTAATTTTTTTTTTATGGTTTTAACTTGAGCTTAATTTCATTTGAGATTGATTTCGTCTTTTCCAATCTTTGAATAGTTTCTTCGTGAATGCGGTTTTTCTCAGGTGTTTCAGACAATATTTTGGACTTTCCCTTTTTCCTACCTCTTTTTTTAGCCATGGTAATAGATTTAGGGTGAGTTCCCACTTCTACAGGTGTTATTAACCTAATCTCTTTAAGTTTTCTTTCAGTTGACCTTGTTGGTGTACAAAAATTATTTTTTCCTTTACTAGTACTTGGGAGATGATCTATTTTACACCTTTCTTCAACAATTTGATCCACACAAAGAATTTCACTAGAATTAATAGAAGCTTGCGAAACTGTTACAGAAGAAGGTTCTAAATCTTCATCACCAAAAATGGAATGTGAAAAGGGCCAGATTCCAGTTTTTTGGAAACCTGCAGTGATGTTTTTGTTAGTAAATGTTAAAGTCTATGCAGTATTTGCTATTATTTGTTATGTATGCTAATAGTCTTACCTGGATTCAATACCATCCAATCATTTTGTGCTGCTCTCAAATTAGAATTGAATGGCACTAGACTCCAACATACAAAGGCTGGAGACAATGAGAACAATGCGGAGGTAGGGTAACTAGCTTAATATCATTATCCTTAGCAAACAGCACAGCATCCAGTGTACAGTGACTTTCATGATTTTCCATCACCAAAAGTATTTTATTTTCGATTGAACATCAGGTATGCTTTTTAATATGCTTGAGAAAAAGAAGTCCAGTCATGTGTCCACTTTTGGGACTGTTGACTAAACCTAAAACCCCTGATGGTGCTCCAAATAACATAGAGTCATGGTACCTTGCCCTCAGAAAAACAAATACAGGAGGAACAGTATTTCCTAAAGCTTTGATTATCATGCACATGGTAATCATGCTTCCTCACTCTCCAGAAACTACCCGCCCCACCTGACGAGCTCCTAGCTTGGCAACAACATTTGGAGATGGAACAACTATTAAAACTCCAGTTTCATCCAAGTTATATATTTGATCAACTGTAAAATGACCAGAAGTAAAAGCTCTCTCATAGTTGTTGAAAAGTTCTTCTACATTTTCTTTATTAAAAGCTGTAGCTCTTGCGAAATTGTTATTTTCTGGTTTTCTTAAAGTAAGTTGTGGGTGACGCTTCACAAACCCTTTAACCCAGTTAATTCCAGATGTTTTATTTTTATCCCAGCTACCTGGAATTTTAGAGTTGAGGCGCTTTGCGTAATCTTAGGCAAGTTGGCGAAGTTGTCTGTAAGTTAGACCGTAATTGAGAATTGAACATGTAATTATGTATTCACAAAGCAGGGTTTCTTGCTGGACATCAAAAACTTATTGGCTTGTGTATTTAGAACTGTAGCATTTTGTGCTTAGTTGTACATTGTTTGGTTTCATCAACCAAACAATTATTTGACTTTCTTTCTTTTTAATCTATAAAATAAAACTGAAAAGTCCATTTCAAATAAGTCTGCTGCTGCTCTTAAAGATGCACCATTTCTGACAGCTTCCATTGCTTTTTCAATGTTTTCTTCACTAACTTCTGGCTTAGTGCACTTTTTTTATATGTTCACATTATTTTTATGAACTGTAAGAAGGTAAAATAACAAGATTAAGCATTTTATTAAATATAATGCTACATCGTAAACTTTTCAATTTTCTTAAAGTTAAATTATTTTTATTCTAAATCAAATTTTCTTGAATATTTTTATAAAATTTTAAAATAATTATTTTATTGACTCTTTTAATGAATTCTTTGTTAATAAATTTGATTTTCAACAGCAATGCAACTAACTGAATCTTGATTTTAAGCTTTTAAAAAAATTTTATGTATTTGAAATTTTTTTAAAAAACATCCTTACTTGAACACATTCACATGTTTTTCAAAAAGTTTAGACTAATGCCTTTCAGAAAAAGTTGAGTATTTTAAATGTAAAAATCATAATTAATGGGCTTTTTGCAGACTAATGGCTTCTGCAAGATTACTTAACAAAAAAATAGTACTCCAGGGGCACCTTTCAACACTGTTGAAAGGTGCCCCTAACCTCTGTTGAAATCTGCCCCTGGTGCAGACATTTTGGTTAAAGTATTATCAATCACTTTAGAAAAAGACTTATTACTAATAAATAATATAGTTGGAAGCCAAATTAATTAAACTAGTAGATGAATAAATATCACTTACCTTATTAAAAGATTACTGGTAGATAAACAGTTTTAAAATCAAAACTGTCTTTTTACTTTTGGATAGTTAAAACATGTTTCACAGAGTAACACAACAGTGGTAAAAAGAAAGTGCTTAAAACTAAATGTCAACAGCTATGCATAATTAAAGCTTATTGTCTGGCATATTGGCCAATCATTAAGCAATATTAGAAGGCAGAAATTCTAGTTGTTGAAAGGTGCCCCATGTTGAGATGTACCCCCCTCTCCCCCAATGATCATTTCCTTCTATTCTTTCGACAGTTTATTAGTTTTTTTTTCATTAATACTGTAAACAAGACTTTTTTTTTAAAGTGGAACTAAATGTGCTTATTATATAAAATATATTTTCTTCTAAAAATATTATACGTCAAATAGTTGTTTTGAATTTGGAGCTGATTAAAAAGTTTAATAAGACATCTTATACAACTTTTTTTATATAAATGAGACTTTTTATTCTCACTTGTGAAAGCTAATTTTTATGTCATACATTAATGTCAGCATACAACCTACTTATAAATATATAATTTCTAAACACTCCTACAGTGTTGGAATTTCAGACGTCTTAAACTGGTGTTGAGCAGGAAATCTGGGATTAACTGTTCCAAAATGTGTAAAAGTGACCAAATCTTCTAAATTTATAAACAAATTTTGTTCAATAGTAATTGGAATCTATTATTTATTGTATTTTTAAAATTATATTATGAAAATATATGTAATTTTTTAATTGTTTAAAATTTTTATAAAACTGCACTACAAAACCTAGCTTTGGTCAGTTTAAGAGATAAAGGTTAAAACCAATTACAGTAGAGTCACCATAATTTGAGGTGGGCGGTACCAAGCCTACCTAAAACTCTAGAAAACTCGAATAACCTAAAATTTAATAAATATTTAAATAAATGGAAATAAAGTAAGTTTTAATGAAAGTTTAGCATTATACCAAGTTACAGTATTCATTATATTATTGCATCAGCTTAGTTGTACTTTAAATTAATTATTTATTATTTAAGCACACTATTCATATGTTTCAGTGTTTAACACACAAATTTGTTTTTCAACAGTCGTAGTAATCGTTCCACGTGTTATGTGTGCATTGGTCGTTGTTTTGGAGTAAGACTGATTTATTTTAATCTAGCTCAAATTTATGGGAAATTCTAGCTATCAGGACTACTGTAATTTTATTTAAACTGGTTACTGGTTATTTAATGACAGCATCTAATTTTTAACTTTGTATTGTAGCTTGTAGCAAATCTTGTATGGCACAACAATGACGGCCCAAATTTATTTTTGTCTTGCAGACAAAAAAGTTGGTATAGATTTTCAAATCCTCTTTTTTTTTTAATGTGATGTTACGGCATGAATAATGTTTAATAGGCAAAAATAACATATCTGTGTAATTTTTTTTAAGAACCTTTATGTTTATTTTTAGATGGTTCGTGGGATTCAGGTCGATGATAGCTCAAAGAGAAAGACTTCCTCGTTCTCCCATTTTCTCCGCCTGAACTTTTACCTTCTTTTTTATATTTTTTTAGCATTATTTGGAACATAGAAACTTTATTTTCCTACAAACTTTTTTTTGTTTACCTGGTGTTTATTTCTTTTTTTAAATTTATTTTAATGTTGATTTTTTTCTCACTGAGATAAAGTTAACTGATTGAAATAAAAAATATTTTGATATTTTAAATGTTCGTAGAATTTTTTCTTTTTCCAATTAATAAATTTCAAACTAATGTTTCATATCAAGTGCTTTTTTTTTTTAGTAGACCAGTTATTTGATTGCATTTTTTAGCAAACATTTGTTGGAACATTGTGTTGAATGTAAATATTTTGCCACCTACTCTGCAGATAAATTTGATGCTATTACTGATTATTACAAATGTTTCTCCTGCTATAATTGCTAAGATCTAAAATTAACTTAAGCTTCTGTAAATTCCAACTATGAGCTAGAGAATTTTGGATAATTTTAAAAAGAAATAGTGATTTCACCATCATGCCTTAAAACTTGTCAATTATACTTTCCTATAGTTTTGCAAAACTCTGTTTATGCAAGCTGGCTTTAAAACAATCATCACATATGGCTGTAGACATGTACCGTGTTATATCAATTCCTTTTCTTCTTTTTAAGAAACACATACTTTGTAAAATTGATACAAATACGATACATTCATATGATAGCTTAATTCTCATTAAATTTTTTATAAGTTTCAAAAATCTATTTAAAAAAAATATGTATTTTTTTGTGAATGTCTGATATTTTTTTAACTTGAAAATGTTACCGAGATAGGGCCAATGTGAATAAAAATTGTAATGCATTCCATTACATCTCAATAAAAGAGGAGAGGCTGTAATCAAAGCCAGTATTCTCCCCAGATGTCGTTATTGGGTACTTACACTTTAAGAAGAAGATCACAGATACCCACATATGTGACCTATGACATCAGCGCCAGCTGATCGCTTATAAGCAAAATGGCATGTTAAGTTGAGCTAAGTTTCTCCACTTAAGTTAGAATGTTAATTAACGTTGTTAGAATGTTAATTATGTTATCACTCATTGAATTTGTTTAACTATAATTCTTTCTCATCTACATCTTTTACTTAACTTAGATTTATTAATGTATTTTATTATGTGTATGATATATTTTTGTTTTGTGTAACTGGCAACTTCAATGTATAATTAGTTTATTTGATCTACATGGCTTCATGCATGTCTTTGTGTTAAGTAAGAAATATATAGTGAAAGAAATTAAATCTTTGTGTAAGATTATAGAATGTGTCCTTATAGAATACCTTAGCTTACTCGAAATAGAATTGAAAGAACAGTTGGTTAGTGTAAAAAAATTCCACGTTTCAACAGCCAATCAGGATTGAGATACTCTCACTACATCACTAATGGGCAGGTATCCCATTGAGTGTTGCAGTAGCAAATTGCACTTCATATTTGAAACAAATTGTTTCTGAAAGCTTTTCTTTTGAAAGAATATCAAAAAATGTATTCAATGTTATGCCTAATTATCTAATTAGTTATCTAACTTCTTAATCCTTTTCCAGAGAGACATAGAAGCAGATCACGAGAAAGGGAACGTGATCATGATAGGAGAGTTAGAGGTAAGCATAAAATTTGAATATTTAAAATTATATAAAATTTATGTAAAATGTTTAAGTTTATTAAAACTAAAAAACGTAAACATTTCATTTGGCCATAAAATAATCAAAACCTTTAAATTAAGCAAACAATTATAACTTAAATTACAAATCTAGGAAAAATAAATATTTCTGCATTTTACTAAATATTTTGAAATGTGTTGTTAACTACGAATACATACCTTACTTTTATTAATTTTTATCTTATAGTTTATATATATCTGACGAGCTCCTAGCTTGGNTGATATGATGAAAACAGCTCTTTTGAATGCACAAAATTTTGATTTCTTATTGGTTTATTGAAAATTCTCTCCAAGGAAATATGGTTGCAGTTACGAAGAAAATACTGTAATAAATTTGTTAAATCACCATTATTGGTAATATTAGGGTCCAAAATATAACACTGCACTTAATAATTATCAACTACATACTCACAATTAAAAAATGGCTTGCTTGTTAATGCAGCAATTAAAAATGCAGAAAAGGATTACAGACTAGTTAATTTGAATTTTTTAGGTGTGTTAAGTGTATATTTAAGGATTCCCTTGATTACAAACTTGAAAAAGTTATTCTGTCTTGTTAAGAAAAGAAAATATGTCTTTTACTTCTTATTATCTACCCATTACTCGTAACTATACTATAGTTACTACTTATTTTAATAGTTTGTAGTGTAATGTACTATTTTAAAGAAGTAGTGTAATACAAATAGCAATTCAATACAAAAAAAAAGTTTTAACATTAGTTTAGTACAGAAACAACTAATTTTTCAAATCTGATTGGTGCATATCTCATACAGTTGTATAAGCAGGCACAATAAGAATGTGTTGGTAGCCTACCATCTTAGATTTTCCCTAGCCGTTATGAATTATACATAGTTTATCAATTCATTCATAACATATCCACATTCTCAAATACAAACGTGCCAATTATTGTGATTATTTTCCTTTATCATGATCAAAATACATGCATGTCATTTCAATGAAGAGTATATTTCCTCATGATGTTCTTGAATTCTTAAAGGAAATTAAAGAGTTTTAAACTTTTAACAAAGTCCTGAATATTTAATATTTTTTCAGCATTTCTTGTTAAAACAGATATTAAAAATTAAATAATGAAAAAAAAATCCTAAAAAATGGTTTAGAATAATAAATTTGCTGTCTTATGAAAGTCAATGTATATGTTTCTTATAAATTTCCATTGATTAAATAAGCAACTTTATTATTCCAAATTATTATTTGTTATTATTCATCATTTTGTCATTCAATAGTACTGTTGCCAACTAATTTCGCAAATAATCAGGGCTCTACTTTATATCATTTTTATTGTTTAAGAGAAATCTTTTTGATTTATAGTAGGTCACCACCCATTAGAAGGAGGTCAAGGTCTCGCTCATGGTCACCACCCAGAAATAGAAGGAGCAGATCTAGCTCAAGGTCTGATTTTAAGATAACTTTTAATTGTTTCTTTTTTTTATTTTCTTACAAAATGAAACTATGTTTTCATTTTGATAAATGCATAATACTTCAGTATTCTGTAATAGGAGAAAATATTTTGAAACTAATTCAAATTTATGTTTTCTTTTAAATTTCATGTATTTGAAATACTATTATAAATTTTATGCTCTTTTTATTGGCTAATTATATGTTAACTTTTATTTAACAATTTTTATGTAACACATTAATGCCCAAGTTACACATTTATATTTAAAATTTGTGTACATGTCTAGAAATCAATCTAAATCTTTTTCTTAAAAAAAAATGATTTAAAGTAGCAGATCTTGTTTAATTTTTGAATTGCAGTATCAAATGTTGAGAAACTTATCATATTCTAAATTTATGAAGGATTTAAAAATAAAAAAAGACCATTGTATTTGCTAAAATAATTACCAAATAAAATTTTTAACAAACTTCTTTCTAGAGAATTGCAAAAAAAATTTTTTAATCAGACTTGAAAAAGCTTATTTTAAACACAAAACATTTTATATGGGATGCAATTGATAACGTACGTAAAAAAAAAAAAAGGAATTTATGATACTTTATCATATGAATTTCACTGTCCTTAAAAGGAAACCATTTTGGCTAATGAATTAAAATGTTTAGACTGTACGCTATAAACTTAATTTCTTGTTAGTATTACTTCATTAGGCATGTCTTGAATCTTATTGAGAAGGTTAGAAAACCAGATATATGATATGTAAATAGTAAATACTTGTTTCATTTCACACAAATCTTAAGGAAATTCATAGAATCATCAACAAAATCAGAGATTTCATTTTTATGCTGTATTGATAGCAAAAACATTTTTTAGGTATCTTTTTCTTTTCTTTTGAGTTACAAGTATAGCAAAAATTTTATTCCTAATTAATACATAGGTATTTTTAATTTTTTGTTTAATAAAAATAGTTCTATATTTTGTAGGACTATTGAATTAAATTTCAAAGGGTAATGTACTTTTTTATAATTATGTATCAATCAATTATTTTTCTGATTCATTTAAGTAGTTTTCCTCCTTTTTAAACTAATTTTGAAAACAAGATTAAATGTAAGTTGTATATATAACAAGCAATTTAAAAATATAATTAAATTATCACTGAAAATAAGTTTTAAGCTAACTGAAATCATGTTTCACAATCCTCAATTAAAGCAAACAATTTTGGTTTTCAAACAAATGCTGAAGGTAATTGTGACTCCAACTGTTGTTTCTGAGTGTTATACAAGTAATGACTACTATTCCTTTTGGTATGTGGCCTATGTGATAGCTATGTGGTATAAGGTATTCTAAAAGGTGAAGTTTGTGTTTTTGCAGCAAAAATTCCTTAATAAAAATCATTGTCGAAAAAAAAAAAATACATGAATATTTTTGATAATGGGGCATAGAAAGTTTACTTCCTAGATGACTCTCCCATAGGCCATCATGAGCTATACTTACTACTCAGTTACTTTTTTTCTAAGGGGTTATTGATAACCAGTTCTCAACAATTAAAGATTCAAAATTTTTAGAAAAAAATTTTAGGAAATGAAATGTTAGTAATTATATACTACTGATGTAGTTGAATTATGGCCTTTATTTCTGTCTAAATTTCATTTTAGACACAAATTATTATCTTATTGACATAATAAGCATAATTATTATACATGCTTATATTTCCATAGGAACATTGAACTAGAACAGAAGGGGTAAAGTATTAAGTCATATTTAATCTGTTAATGATTCATTTGAGAAGAAATTTAATATCTTTTTTTATTATCTTTCTTATGATTGATATAAAATCTAAAATTCTTTTTACTCGTTGTTTAGGACTTCTGACAACCAAAACAGGTATGGTAATTTAAAAAATAAATTAAAATTAACTTTCATTTTAGTCACTTTATACTGGTAATTGTAATTATACAGAATATGTTCTAATAAAGCTATATAAAAAAAAAATTCTTCTGTTCTATATAAAAAGTTTTATGCAGATTATTCAACTTAAATCATATATTTCACTATTTTGTGATTAAAAATTAAATTCAAAAACAGGTATGAAACGTTTTTTTCTTTGCTGCGTTCCTCTTTGAGAAAATCGTTCAAAAATTTTTTTGACAAAGACTGACAGAAATTATTTTTTATTGTAATATTGCAAGGACTGTTGCTTAAAAATTTCTAAACTCCATTTTTAGAAACTTTGGTGTTACAACTACGTATTACAGTTTGGTCTGATCAGAAAAAGAATATTTATCAATTCAATTTGCAGCTTTGAGAAAGAAAGATATTGTATTTTCTAGTAAAATCCTTTACAGACATTATTAGTATTTCTTATTTTTCCTATTATTTTAAGAACATATGGTTCTAAGTTAAAGGAATTGATTTTGGCTTATTGATAAGTTTGACTTAAAAATAGTTTCATTAGTTTACTAGTTCCATTGTTATACGAGTTGATATTCATCGTAGATGGTAACTAGTTATGTTCAACATTAATAAAGCATGCTATGTTTATATACCCATTTTGTAGTATGGCTACTTTCAACCACAGATTCCTATTGAATATTAACAGTATATGAATGCAAAGGGTTAAATATTTCCAAAATTTATTTTAAAACACAATATTATTTTGCTAAATTTATCTGTTTCCAGTTATGAAATATTTCATACATTTATATTCGAATAATAACAAAAATCGACTATTGATTATCAGTTATTGCAAACGTTATTTATATCAATAATCAATTTGGATTTATGGGACTGTAATTTTAATTTACAATTACATAATTTCGTTAATCATTACACAGAAATTTAAAATAAATATTTTTTCAAATAAAGACATTTGCTTTGCCTAAAAGTTAAATTTATTATCTCCCAACAGAGGGCGTGATTCTAACAGAGAAGCCCCTAAAAGAGCAGTTTCTAAATTTCTTATGGAAAGAACACCCATAACAGGTAAAGTAATTTTTTTTAAAAATTTATTTTTTAAAAATTAATTGCACTGATAAACAATCCATAGATATCTGGCATGGTATTAATTTTTTCTAATGTAGCTTGTTTTGTTGATTTCAAATTGGAAAACCGTTTTGCTCTACCTTGTAAGGTTTTTAAGATATTAAAAAAAATTTAAGTCTCATGAAACCCTGTTTAATTTCCATAGAATAATGTTTGAATTATAGTAGCTTTAATGGAAAACTGTTAATTTGTTAATTTTAACAGAACACTGTTTAAATATTGTTATTTCTAAAAGAATGTTTTTATTTGAATTATTTTAAAGAAGCACTTTTTAAATTTTATTAATTTTAATGGTATCTGCTTGCATCAGGTACAACAACTACACATTTTCACCACAAATACTAAGAATTTGTGAATTTCTTTGCAAAAAATAAGTGACACTTAATACTAGAACCCCAGAATAAAAGATTTAGAAGAAAAAGCAAAATAAAGGAAGATTGAAAGAAAACATATATCATGCTTAACAGTTTATAACTAATTCTTCCTCATCCATAATAAATGTTGAATTGCTGTTTTTTTATCTTAAATATCATGCTTAACACTTATAAACTAGTTTGAAGTTATGGTAATTATTGGAATTCTTACATATTAACAATCCTTACAGTCACATATTATCATTTATAATCATGCTTTATAATAACAAGCATTCATCTTGTATCATTTTTCTGTTTTGTGTTTAATTTTTTACTACACTTTTAAGATTCAGTGATATATTTTTTTACATGCCTAAAATATATGGTGAAAAATAGTTTACAAAATCATTTTTCTTAATTGCAGTGAGTTTTCGTTATATTTAATACTAAAAGATAAGGCAGCAAAAATCGAATGGCAAATTTTGTTAAGATTTAAGGTCAACTCCAAAACTGTTCAAAGGAGACCATTATAATAAGCATACAGGACCGCAATGATTGTTGTCTAAGAAGGGTGTTAAATTGTTGGAGTTTTTAGTTATTTTAGCCCTTTAATTACTTACCTTAAAATAGTTACGTTTTTTTTTTTTTTTTACAATAAGCAGAAATATTCATTAAGAAAAAATTAAGTACTTGAAAGTTAAAATGTTAAGTGTAATATTATAGGACAGATGCCTGCTAACTATTTTTGAATCCCAAAATACTCTAGCAATTTAAAGAAAGTAGAGTGTTTTTAAAACTCATTAAAGCTACAGTTTTAAATGAAAAATGATTTTTAAAAAAATACCTTTATTAAGTTACAAACCTTTATAAAAGTAGGTATGATACCAAATTTCTCAAACCTAGTTTTTTAAATCCTATTTTGCTATGTTTAAATGCATTTTTTGCACTTTAGTTTTCAAAATAAGCATCCTCACCTACATCAATTAAAAGTTAATACATTAGTGTGTTGTTTCTGAGAAGATAGGCAGTAATCGACAACTGACCAACTCGAGTAAAATTGATCAGCGCAAAAAAATATAAATATATATTTAAATCTATTTTAGCTTATTTCCTAAGTTTGAGTTTTTTTTAGTTTAAATTTGAGTTTTATTTTTTAGAAAAAGATCTTGAGGGTAAAACAGATGAAGAAAAAGAAATGATGAAGCTCATGGGATTTGGAAATTTCGATACTACTAAGGTAACTCTTATGATGAATTTTTTACTAATTTATTACTCGCAATAGAATAAAAGCTGCACAGGTGTCATGAGTTCATAAATTTTTAATTATATCTAATACTTTTATTGACAATCTCAATGGAAACATGGTGTTTGCTTGCTATGGATCTCGTCAGATCTTTTCTGGACACATCCTTGTTAGCTCCACTTTTCACTCTTTTTAAATGCTTTTATGTGTTGATGAACTAACACAATTTGTGGTGCACTCCTTTTACAATAATTTAAAACCCTAAATGGTGAAACACACATATCTTCAGATTAATAACTTTTGTAGATAAAAAAGTTTTTTTTTCCAAGCCATTAATACCAAACAAAAACTCATTGTACAATGAGTTTTTGTTTGACTTGATGACTTGACTTAAATCACACATAATCTTACTTAATGACTTGAATCAGACTTTGTACTTTTATCTTCTTTTTATTTACTCCAATCAAAATTTTTCTTACTGTTCTCTTGTTTGATTACAGGAGCTCTAATGCTTTAATAAATTTTTTCTCAAATAAGAAAATAAATAATTTTCTAAATTTCATTGCAACTATAGCAACTTGTTTACAAGTGAAATAACGATTTCAGGTGTCAAATTATAGCAATTTTACTTATAACAGCACATCTGGTGAAGTTGAACTATCTCTTTCCATTGGTGGTTTATACAAATTAATATTATTATTTACTCGATAAAAAAAAGTGCCAAAGTAACCAGTTAAGAAAGCATATTTTGGAAAGATGCCATGAACCACAGGAAAATTGCAAAGGTTTTTAATAAAGCTAGATGTGTTTCTATCTTTCTATGAAAAAAATTTTTAAGCGACCTAGCCCATATAGTCATAATCCAAAAGATTTCTGAATCTACACAAATATCCATGAATATGATGAAGTCTAAGACCTAGTCTTCATTTTGTTTCTAAATGACAAATTAATATTTCCGCTTGCTAAAAATAATTTATAGTATTCATTTTAAAGTTTTGTCTGAAAACCAGGCATCTCCAAGTTTTGATTTTTTTGAATTAAATTAAGTTATATTATCATACTATTGCAAAAGAATACTTTGTAACCAACCATATTTTAATATAAAGAAAAAGCTCTATATATCAAGCTGATACTTAACAATTCCGTTTTTTGTCTCGCCTGTAAAATTAGTTTTGTCAGAGATGACTGGTTTTCAAACTCATTGGAGGTGTGTAATACTTTTATGTTTTATATGTTTCAAAATATACAATGGCGAGTGATATTAACTTATGCTACATACATTTTTGTCCACGTCTATAGTAATTATTAAGATAATCTAACAGAAAATCTTTATATTAAATATTACTTAAAAATATCTCTATTTAAATAGGGCAAGCACGTCGCTGGGAATGTTGCTTATGGTACCCATGTCATTCAGAAGAGAAAATACAGGTATGTTTATTTGTTATTCTTCACATTATAATTAATTTATTTTCTATACATAGTAACTTTGTTTTAATTTTTTCTTTTTTTTAGACAATACATGAATAGGAAAGGTGGCTTCAATAGACCATTGGATTTTGTAGCATAAATATTTAAACTTCATTTTGTAAATAGCTTAAAACATTTTCTAACTGTTTCTAAGTATTTATCCAATTTGTGAAAGTTCTGTAATTGTATACCTCTCTAATAAACATTAAATGAGTTTTTATTGTTTCCTAAACTTATAATTGTATAAAGCAAAGCTACTTTCATACCTGAACTTTACATTTCAGTAGTTAATTTGCAAGCAAATTAGAAAAAACATTTCCCCAAAGTAATGAAGAAATTGTCAAGAAAACATAAGCTCAGAGATGCCCTCTACTTTAAAGCAAATAGTGTGATAAATATTTGCAATTCTCCTTTATAATTATTCCTCATCACAACAATTTTAAATTATTATTACATTTCACTAATTATTATAAATATATATTTTTTAAAATTCAATATTATTGGTAAAGGACAAGAGGAAAAATAATATTTTTCTTTTAAGCCTATATTTGAATAAAAGAAATTATGTAAAAAGCTCACTACAACGTGAGAAAGTTATCAACAGAAACAAACAAGATGTCATTCATAAACAGTTTTATTAAAAGCAAATACATTTTGTAAAGTTCCTAAAGCACTCTTCATTCTTTTCCTGCATCTTCTTTCAAGCTAACTGTTTGATTAAACACCAACTGAAAGTTAAAGTAAATATAGTTATCATTTCATAAATTAAAAAAGAATCTGTTTAATACTGCACAAAACCAATTTTTTATAATTTATTCTATAATAAAATGAACAGGTTAAGATCTCCCATTTTCTGTGCTATCCTTCTCAGTGTTTAACCCGGATTATCAGAAATGTATTACTCCAAACTTTCCCACTAAAACAAAGCACAGTCGATTAAAAAGAAAACTAAACAGCTGGATACAGTGCTCAGAGTTCTTGATATGATTACTCTTTTTTTATTTTATTACAGGCACTGAATTCATACAAATAATTATAGAAGTGTTACCCTACAAATGTCAACAAAAAAAAACTAGAAGAAACCATCTAATATTTAAGAATCACTTTATAATATAAAAAATTCATAAAGGTCGTAAAAAAGCAGTTTCTGAATAAAGTTTATTATTGAATATAAGAATTAATTTTAAAGAGATATGATGGTAATTATCTATATTTTTTTTAAATATTCGGCCTTTATTGTTTTTTTTCTCCATTATGTCAAGTTTTTTTTAACTATTGTAGTGAAACGTTACATGAACTTAACCATTAAAATAAGTTAGAAAATCAAATTTCATTTTATACCTTGGCAATGATGATGTCACATTTTTTAGAGCAGTAGAACAACTGAGTGTTATTTAATTACTTTTATTTGTGATTAAGTTGTTTCTGCATTATTTATTCCAGCCTAAACATGACCTTATTTTCACATAAAAATGTAGAAATATTTTTTATAAGCTAAATAAATAGAATATCAACTTACTTTATTATCACTAGAATCCTTGTCAATACTAAAGAAGCCAAGCCTTTCGAACTGGAATCGATCATAGAGTTTAGCTCCCTTCACAGACTGATCTACCATAGCATTTGGTATGCATTTAAGAGATTCCTATGAAAAATAATTAGTGTTTAATTGTAATTATTTCAAATATATGAATTAATAATAGCACATATACTTATATGAACATCTAATATTGTTGATTATACCCTAGCAGCAAAATAACTTGAGCCCTCATTGTACCAATATTCACAAATCTTGGCCCAATAAGAGTTCAAAGAATCAATATTTCCAGATATTGGCCCTGTAAAGAATTGTCTGATACAACCACTTTACATCCAATATCTGCCCTCAGATTCATCAGATATTTTATATTCATTATTCAGCCAATATAAGCCCTATATTGGTCCCATATAGGACCAATATAAAAACATCTTAAAATTGGTCCTATGGTGCATGTTCAAATAGAACCCATATTGAGTCCAACTTGAGCCAAGGTAAAATAGTTGTTAGGTTAAAAGAAATAAAACTAATTCAGTCATTATTTTGATAGTACAGTAGGGAACCGATTATCCGGAATGATCGGGACCATCGCTATTCCGGATAACTGATTTTTCCGGTTTTCTGAATCGCTACAAAAAGCCGTTTGTTTATTGTTAAACCCAACAAAAAAAATTTTTTTTTGGAAATAATCTTAAAAAGAAGAAAAAACGATGAAGGAATACACTAATGATTATTTCCAAAATGATGGTAAGGTAAACATCTTTCAAAAAAGAAAAAAAATCCTAAAATCTTATGAGGAAAAAAAATTTTTTCTTCTAAATGGCGCGAAAATTTATCGAATTTTGTTCCGGTTTTTTGGTTTTCCGGATAACGGGTTCTGTACTGTAACATTCTAATACACAAAATTTTCTTGTTGATAAAAATTAGAGCATGCATAACTATGGTTGTTTTTGCATAGATGTGGAAAGCAACAGGACAAGGAGCACAACAAATTAGATTTAAAAGTATATAGATTAACTCAAAAAAAATAATGTAAATAAAACATAAATAAGTACAGAAATGGACATACCATAGTTTCGGTTTTATAAAAAAAAATTCCTCAGTGCTTAATGCTTGTAGAGAAGTAAAGAGACATTCATGTACTAAGAGGTTTAACCAATATAGGCAGAGGGAGATAAGTAACAGGTGTAAGAGGTTTGGGAAACAGGAAATTAACTTATTTTACATGGCCCTGTATAGTTGGAATTTTGATCACAGATTTGAGTTTTCTTCTACTAAAATCATTCATCCACTGAACTTGATTTTTGGGAATCATTCCACATTTTTAAAAATTTAGGTAACGATCTTTCTAGTACCCTACCATTTCCCAATGTTGGAAATCTATTCTAATTTAATACTTTGCACCCTAGGGATTAGACACCCCTCACACACACACACACCTGTTTCTTATCTCCCTTCTTTTATTATTTTGTTCAAACTTGTTTCTCTAACCTTATTGGTCGAACCACTTTTTACATGTTTGTCTTTTTACGTCTAATTTGGTGTTAAGACACTGAGGAAGATTCTTGTTCATAAAATCGAAACTACAGTATGTGCATTTCTGTACTTTCATTTGTGCTTTATTCATATTTCTTTGCTTTAATCTACATAGTATAAAGTATGTCATATCCTTTTAGGTTAAAGTATGTAGTTAATCCTAAATTACTAAAATCAATGTTATACAATTGATGATCTGCTAACTTAAAAATAGTGAATTATCTAGTATCTTAACATATCTTAATCCATCTTTTATTCAAAAAAAAAAAAATTAATAAAGCTTATCATATGTATTTTTAAATTTTTATAAAAATACTTGGGAGCTCTGCCCCTTAAGAACCAGTCATTTACCAAACTCCATCACAGCTTCACAATCATTTTTATTTTTTAAGAATAAACAGAATAATTAAAGACATTAAAATTAAAAGATCTTAAAACTTTTTATTGTATTAATACAGATTCATTCCTTAGATTTAATATATATTTTGATTGGAATAAAATTTTATACAACTTTATCTACAAAGTTTCTTTTTTTTTTAAAATTCTTATTTAATTTTCAGTAACTTTAAAAATTTAATAATTGTTTTCTGCCCAAGACATTATTTAGCTAATCATTTTAGATGAGAGAAAAAAATTCTATTAAACTTATTTAAATTTCTACTGGATACAATGTGTGAGAATTGCATTATTATTATTTGAATATGGAGGGAAAATTCAACATCTTTTTACTTAAATCATCATAAGAAATAAAAACAAATCAGGATCAAATTTTAACATAATTAAAATTTTACAAAAAATCACATCAGTATTTGTAATTAACTTACTAGATTACAGTCAGAGACAAATCCACCAGGTACCTCTTTAGGATCTTCAGGGTTTTTGTGATGAAATCTTCAAAATAAAATATTTCATAAATTTCATTAAAACTTTAAAAAAAAAAATTTTTTTTTCAACTTCTGTTGGTCAAATATGTGAAGAAATTTTATTCAACGTTTTGGAATTGAGAAAATAATTTGCGATGTATATTTTAACTGAATTGAACTTAAGTTTGATGACTGAAGATAAATCGTAAACATGCCCACTTATGCAGTCTAGGGTAGACAATAATTACAGTTGAAATTGCAAACATTCTTTGAATCATGTGGAAGTTGAATATAACTTGGATATTTCATGGTCAAAAGGTAAAGCTTATTACAAATCCCATAATATTGGAGTGCATATCTTTTTTAGTGCAGAGCTACTTGCACAGCAAGTTGAATAACGAAGGGCCATACACAATATTTAGACATGTTAACAGCAAATAAGATATTTTTATTATAAACATTAGTGTTCTAAGCACTAAATTTTTTAACGGTGAAATTGGTAATATATTTACACAAAAATAAATATTTTTGACTATTAAAATTTGCTCCAAAATGGAAAAGCATATTTTTCCCTTCATTAAAAAATTGATATATTAAAAATACATATAAATATAGAAGAAAAGAAATAGTTTTTTTTTAAACATATCATGCGATACAAAAATTCATTTAAATAAATTCTAACAACAAAAAAAAAAGAAAAACTAATGCTCACGAAATGAAATTATAAAAAAATATAAATAAATACATATTTTAATGAGTAATATATATTCAAACGAAATATTTTAATTAAACAAATACTAAAAATTAAAATAAAGCCATTATAGTAAAAAATAAGATTCGATATTTATTTGGTATTAATACTTCAGATATGTTTATTTCTTGAATTATTATAGACTAGGAGGCTTCGCCCCCTGCTCGCCAATCCCCGGAACTGTTTCCGCAGTTCATTTCGGATTGCTTCGCAATCCGATGCTCGCTCATTGGATACGTTCTTAACGTCTAGCTTTTGTATACTTTTTTTAACACTGAAGTTCCGAAAACTTTTCACTGTAGAAAATTCTAAACCTGTGCATTTCAATATTAATTTGAAATCGAAAACAGTTCGCATATATTTCTTAATCACACTATTCTAAATTTCAGTTGTTGAGAAAAGTAACTGTTGTAAGTTTTGTTTTAAAGTCTTTCCCACCNATAATAAAATATATATTCAAACGAAATATTTTAATTAAGCAAAATTTATAGGGTTTAAACAAATACGGAAAATTAAAATAAAGCCATTATAGTAAAAATTAAGATTCGATATTTATTTGGTATTAATACTTCAGATATGTTTATTTCGCGAATTATTATAGATTTTATGAATTTTAAACAGGAAACTTTTTTTTTCCCCTTTAGAAATATAAAATAAACAACAAATTTAAAACTAAACTACTAACAGAGAGCAGCTTAAAAATTCACGTTCCTTCCCCCTTTTCAAATTTCTCATATTGCAATAACATTGTATTAAAATATTGGGATTCTAAATACCAAATGCAACTGCAATGCACCAACTGACGAAAAAACGGTGAAAAATAATTTGGATTTACGATGAAATAGGACAAAATAATAGATCAAATCGACAAAAATAAAATAGGCACAAAATTATAACAAAAAGTAATTACTTAAATGAGTGATTAGAAATTCGCGTGTCGCAATAACATCGTAGTTAAAAAAAATTGGAATCGTCAAAATCACGTGGAAAAACATCATAATAAATGCCAAAAAAGCATTAAAATTTACAATGAAACCAACACAGAGAATTAGTAATTATTTAAAACTGGAATGTTATATTAAAAATTGGAATTTTTAAAACCACATGGGAATGCAGAGCAATAACTGCCTAAAAATTGGTTGAAAAATAACTTGGATTTATGATAAAATCGGCACAAACAAAGCGCTCAAGAAGTGACTATTTAAATGTGCGATTTAAAACTCGTGTACTGAAATTTCTTAGTAAAAACACTGAATTTCGAAAATTACATCAAAAAGCATACCAATAACAGCCTTTAAAAAAAACATAAAAGAAAAAATCATTTAGATTTACCATTGACAACATCTCAACATTGACCCACATAAAGCATGCTAAAAAGTAATCGATCAGATGTGCGATTTATAACTCACAATACGTAATATCATATTAAATGTATCGGAATTTTAAAAACCACAAGGAAATTAATAGTAGTTACAACTGCAAAAACGATCGAAAGAAATTATCAAAATATGATTGGATTTAAGGTGAAGATGAAATCGACAAAAATAAAATGAGTCAAAAGTAATTACTCAAATTCGAAATTCACATATTGTAATATATTAAAAATATTGGATTTTTTTTTAAAATCATGCCGAATTTCAAAGCAATTACCACGAAATAAGAGATCGTGAAACATGATTTATAATAGAATATGTGCGGAATGAACATGCCAGAAAGTGATGACTCAAATATGCAATTCAAAATTTTAGACTTCTTTTAAAAAAATTTTTATTGTGGTTCAAAGTTTTTGCGGGAAGCTCATCAATAGTCGGCGGGCCGTAGGTTAGTCACCCAAAATATGAAATACATCACAGTACTTATATTCAATAAACTAACAACAATTAGTCATAAAGGTTTTGGAATTGTACAAGGGTTGATCAACTTGCTCAGTATCATCTAATTCCAATATATTAAAATAAAAAATATAACATATTATCAACTCAATTTTAATACTTACAATCGGTCATAGAGTCTAACTTCACATATAATCGGATCAGCTACCCAATGAATAAATGCTTTTGGCTTGTTAGTTGCACTGACTGGTGTACCAATAGCTCTAACTTCTTTAATTCCTTTGTTTTCATCCTTTTAAAACACCAAATTTATTTTAAAGAATAATAAAACTGACTCCAATGTTAACTCGCTTAAAATTATCGGTATACGCCTACCTTGATAACTTCTGTAACAGATATAACATATCCAGTATGCCTAAGTCCAACTGGTTGAGCAATGGTTAATCTCTTATATTGACTATTTGGTAACACCTTTAATAAAATTGGGATTAGTATTGAATTAACTTACAATTGCAATACACATTTTGAATTTCAATGCACTTTGAATACCTCTTTAAAATCAGACTGTTCAATGTATATGACATCTGAAAATGTGACTTTGTGTGTTCCTTTTGAAGAATCAGCAGGAAAATTAGGAACATCAACTAAAATAGGTGTTTCTATATTTAGGCTGACTTTGACTTTTAGAGGCTCCAAAACTGCCATAGCTCTAAATTTATAAAGGGGGGAAAAACATTTAAAGTGTGCATAAAGTAGTCTACTAAATGAATTAAAATTTAATTCAATTCATTTAGTAATATTATTATAAACACAGTGTCTTCTTTATTTATTTATCACAATTTTAATGATTGCAAAAAAAGATTCAGAGATGAGAAAAATATATGAGAATAAATTTATATATGAGAAATATATAAAATCAAACATCATTGACAAGTGTCAGTGATGCTTGACCTCAGTAATCTACCAGGAACCACGTCTTATGATTCAGTTCACTGTGTTGATCTGACACAAAAAAAAGTTACCCGATATTTCGTCGTAAAAAATTTTTAATTTGGAGAAACCACATTTTTGTGTCCAATTTCATTAATATAAAACATAGACAACATTATTCAGCTTATTTGAGGTCGATCATTTGAGCTATTATGATTGGTCCCGAGAATGCAAAAACCTGTATCATAGAACAAAAGTTATTCAGGATAATATCTTCATTGTCAAAAATGATTTCATAATTTTGGAATTATATTTAAACACAAAATGTCAATGAAATAATTGTCTTTTTAATTTCAAATAGTTTTCAACACCAAAAATTTTTTTTTGTTACAAGTTATATTAACTAGAGCATAACTTTTTGATATAATTAGTGAAGAATTGGTGCTGTAACATTGGTGAACATACCTTGGTGCAGTAACATTTAGCACATTTCTCACATGTGCTTCAAGCATTTGAGGGTCAACTACAGATTGAGCTCCAGTTACACCAAGCTATAATAAACAGAAGATTTAGTCTAACATCAGAAATTGTTAATTAAAGAATGTCTTTAGAATAATAATGTACTACAAAATGTTGATTTAAAAATACTTTTTATATAAAAAATTTAAATACCATATAATATAGTAAGTCGACTTTTCAAATAAACCTAAGTTTTACAAAAATCAAGTAGTCCACATATACACGGGTAATAAAATCTGACTTTCCCTTAATGAAATATTGATGAATTATAAGCAATGAGATAGCTATAAATAACTCTGTATTAATTTTCCCTTTCCAAAAACTATTTTTAATATTTATATACAATTCATTTTAGATTTTCCCTCCTCATATTTTCTTTTCATATAGAGGTTTTTCTTAGAAACAATACTTTAAATTACAATCTGAAAAAAACTAAGACTAAGAAAAGATTGTTTATTCAATTAATTTATTCAAAAGTATTTCAAAAAATATAACACGGAACTTTTAAAACATACTACAAAGCTAACAATTTAATGATTCCAGAACAAAATAAGTCATGTCGGATTCAATTAGGTTGGCAGTGTTGTGTTATCATACGGATCTCACTCTTCAAGGATTTTACTTTATCTAAATAAAGCCCCTCAAAATATCATCTTCACCACCGCCAAAAAATACAAAATGTCACGCTTTTTAAAAGATTTTACAAAAACATTTGGTTTTTTTTCAGTGCTCAACTTATACACATGATATACCAGTATTTGCTATCAAAAAAGGGGGGTTGACTTATACGATAGGATATAGAGTATACTGTTCTTGAGTAAAGCTGTAAAAAAAAAAATCTAACTTATTTTAAAATGAATTTACCTTAAATTTACACCAAATATAACACAAATATATTATATAAATTTTTATTTTGAATAGTAGTTCTGTTTCTGGAAGATTATTCATTCTTCATCAATTTTCATTCAACACATTTTTTTTATATTTCTATTTTTGAATAAAGAATATAATAAAGGATTTTATTGATTATTATGTAATTTTTAGGGCAGAAACGAAAACTCAAAAGTCGTCAATTGAACGATTCTCCATATATAACAGCCTTAACAATCAGATATAAGAAGTGTCAGTTTTTTTATAATTATTCTCTCAAAATTAATATTTTTATGAATATGTATTATAGTTTTTAAATTACATAAAATCTAAAATGTATTAGCAAAATTTAATTACACATATCATCAATCAATTTAAACTGTTTGAAAAAATTTTATCCCTTGAAATTCAAAGAATATAAATTTTAAATTAAACTTTCCTAATCTTTTAATAAAATTTTGAAAGAAAATAAGCACACTTGAACAGATTTCTGGCTTAAAAATCAATTTAACCGTAAAAGACTTTTTTTATTTAATTGGGCTGAATCAACTTTATTGGATAAAACTGGCAGGCAAGACTGGGTAGCTATATTCCTAAATACTCCAAGTCAAGATTCTCGGAAAATTGGATAGTGTCTCGATCGAAAACAATGGGAATATGAAGTGATAATCAAATTGTCGTTACAATGATTTCTCATCTTAACTTATAAAACCCTTGTAAAATCTTTTCAATAACGTTTTTTGAAAGTAATTTGATTAAAAGAAATATGATCTATAGCTAAAACTTTGATTACGAAGCATTTTTTTAATCAGCATTATTACTAGTCTAAGCTTTTTGCAATGGATTTATATTAGTTAAAATTTACAATTGGACTTATTCGGCATTCAATTAGCCCAAAATAATACTTAAAAAATGATGTTTTATATTATTTGCTCTTATATGCTTTTAAGTATCACTTCTGAAACAATGACAGTTCCAATAGTTTTTAACATCATCTAATTTTAAAATTAACTAGCGGTCTCACACTTTTTCCACTACTATATGACATTTATTTACAAATAAAAATAGAATAAGAATAATATTAAGATATAAAAAAATAATTAAATCTTATAAGAGAGCAAAAAAAAATTTTTTTATTAAAATTCCTTACCTCAACACAGAAACTTTGTATAGCCTCAGAGGGAAAACCACGGCGACGTAAAGCTGTTAATGTAAAAAGTCTAGGGTCATCCCAGTCCCTAAAAAGAAAAATTAAATAATAGTAATAGAAGTTAGTGAAAAAGAAGTCTACTAAAAGTAGAAAAGTAAGTGTGTTAAAGTCTGAGTTATAAAAACAATGGTCAGTACAATCTGAATTATATTTGGAGAAAAAAATACATTGAATATAACAATTCAGAATTTGAGAAAAAATTTATCTCAATTTCTAAGACACAATACCAAAGTGTCATAGATTTTGTTTATAAACATTATATATTAAGTACAGTAAAAAAAAATGTCAGGTGCTTTTTAGCCAAAATTATGGTAGTTATAATAACTGAAAAATGTAGGTGTTTGTATAATGAAAAGAATTCACTTCCTAGATGATGGTTTTTGCACAATTAATGATAAAAGGATGATAAAGCAGCTTGATAAAAGGATGATCATTGCATCTAAAAGCCGAAAATAATGATACTCAAATAGAATAAGTTAAGTGTTGAGCAATTTCTGAAAGCAAAAGGCGCAGAATATTGTGAAATTCGTCAGTAAATGGAAAGCACTCTACGTCCCAGTACAGAATTAAGGAATAAAGCAAGCACTTTCCGACAGGAGTATGATACTGGAAAAGAGCATATCATTACTTGGAGCAAAACCAGTATGTTGTAAAATTGGAGACCTATCAAAACAAACAGTTTGGCAACAGATTGTAAATGTGATTTCTAGAACAGGGCGCTTAGCCATGAAACTGTTTGTGTAATTACCGAGAATAGGTGGCAACACTATTAAAATATGTGGATCCACTACAACTTAACATTGAAAAGTAAACAGACATCAAAACAACTACCTTTAAGTCCATATCAACCTGTCACCTTTGATGAGATCTAAATTTAAATTGGACAATGAAATCAAGAAATACATGCAGAATTCGTTTAAAAAAAGTTCCTAAGTTGTTGTTTTTTTTAATGCATGGTATTAACAAAAATAATATTGAATTTCAGTAAATAAATTGTGTGAAAAAGCCTCTACCAATTATTTATCACATAAAACTAATAGTTTTTATCAAATACTTTAAAACAGTAATTAGCAAACAATGAAGTGATGGCTTTTATTTTCATTTTACCATATATTTATCCTTTAATGAATGTAATTACATGGATAGTTTATGTGTCTCTTTATTTTGAACAACCACAATTTAAAAAACTAAGAAGGTTTGATATCAAATACCTGAAGGAATTTGTCAGTGTAGAAGATTTATAAATAATAAAATGTATAAAACTTGAAAGTAGTAATATTAAAGATTAAGTCATAAAAAAATATATGAATAGTTTATTAAAAAAAATCTAACTGACCAAACTGTAGACTGATTAAAAAAACAAGCTAACAAAAAGCATTTTACATTTATAAGAATTAATAGATATTGTATTTGTATTGATTCAGATCTATTTATCTGCACATACCTATGAGAGTGAATTTTTTTATAATAAGTTTAATACATTTAGCATAATAGGAAACTAAGGTGGAAAAAAACTTACCTCACAATACCTTCTGAAATCAATTTCTGGATTTTCCTTTTTGATATTACAGTGTAATTCATATTTAATCTACCATATTCCCACTGTACAGGACAATAAATATCCAATGCATTGCATAACCAATAATATGAAGATCGCCTAAAATTGTAAAAGAATACTTCAGTCAAAATCACGAAAAATATAAACATTACACTAAGGAAAATAAAGTATAAAGCATAATTTGCATTCAATTAGGAAAAAACAAAACAAAATTAATTAATATGAATCTTTAAGTCAACTTTCACTTAAAATGATTTTTTGCATAGTAAACATGATTGTTTCATGCAACTGCAAAAAAAAAAAAATCTTCTCCACATGAATTCTTAACCTTTTAAAAATTTCTTTGCAAAGGATTCAGTAAATTCATCAATCATATTATTCTTGTTTGAAAACTTTATTCACTCTTCTTCATGAGTGTTGTAATAGGTAGTTTATTAAGGAATTAAAACATGTGTAATCTCACTCTTCTTGATTCCATTTATATTCAGACTTTGCTGTACTCTAGGCATTTATTTTTGTAACCGTCATTGAACAGCCGACCCAAATTTGAGTTTACGCCTACTAATCTTCAACTCGGTAGCCTTGTAATTTTGAACCCAATCCAGAAGACGAGAACTTCTGGATCAGTACCCACAGAGATATTGATTTGTTATGGGAACCTGGAAGACTTTGTGACCATGATAGATTTAATGTGCACCTATCACCATTTAATACACGGGGATTCTTCGGTCGGCTTGATTCTAACTCCCGCTCTCATGAAAGTGAGTCCAATGCCCTACCAACCAGGCTAGCCTGGATCCCTAGGCATTTATTTAGGAATAATTGATGCTAGGAACCAGGGATTTCTATGAGAATTCTTTAAAATACTTTTGTTTTAATAGCTGCATCATAATAAAAAGCCTGATAAAACAAAAGCATTTTAGAAAAAAGAAAAAACTTAATAGCAACCAAAACAATAATTGTTTTTAATTTTCAAATGAAAAATTTAACAGTAAAAATCACAATCCAACTTCTTTACATTGCCATATATGTAGAAAGAAATAACGAGAAATTATTAACGTTCTTTAAAAAAACACTGTGCCATAATAAAAATGCTGATTAAAAGAAAAAGTTAATAAAAAAAAGCAAAAGAGAAACAAAAAGAATTGTTCTTAGTTCTCAAAATATAACTTTAACTTTGGAAATCACAGTTTTATATGTTACTGGGAATCTGTCTTAAAGTACAGGAAAAAAGTAACAGTAAAAGAATAAAATCTATCAGAGATTCTATGTTAAAATACATTGCTATTTTAAAAACATAAAAACAGCAAAAAATATTCTTAATTCTTAAAACAAAGAGTGGTGAAAAAAAATGATAAAGTTGACTGGCCTGAACAAAATTTTAAATCAGCTGTGCAAAAATCCTCGTTCTGTATAAAGTAATCTAATTTCAATTCTTCAAATGTTACTTTTCCATTTGTCCACCAGAACACAAATTTAAAAGTCTTTTGCAAGTAATAGAACTTAATAAATAGGTATAAAAGCTATTTATAATGATAGTAAAAATTACAACTTTAGATTATTCTTTGTCAAATCAAATCATATTAAAAAATAATAATAATAAATAAAATAAAAAATTCGAAAATACTTTTATAAAAAACCACTTTTCCAAATAATTTGGCCCTTATACTGAATATTGGCCAAATATTCGTTACATCCCTATTGATGATTAAAAAAAATTTAAAAAATTTTATAGAGCTTTTGTATAATAAAAATTGGTAACTGCAATTCTTGCTTCTTGAAAAATTGTAATTTAATTTCAGATTATGCACAAGGTAACAAAAAATATCATGGATTATTTCATACCTAGATTGAAACTCTTTTGTACATAAGGAATGAGTGATATTTTCCAGAGAATCACAAAGACAATGAGTAAAGTCATATGTGGGATAGATACACCTGTGAAATAAACAAACAATTTATTTGAAAACCATCACAGAAAATGCACAATATACACAAAACTTAATAAGAAGACATGTAGAACTATTACAAACCATTTATCACCTGTTCTATGATGGGGAAGGAATTTAATACGATAGGCAACTGGGTCTTGTTTCCCTTCTTCTAAAGTTAACTTCATTCGTAAAGTAGCCTCACCTTCACCGATTTTACCATTTTTCATATCCTAAGACACCCAAAAGCAAAATATACAATTATAATAATAAATATTAAAAAATTATAATAAATTTTTAATATGTGGCAATAAAAAAATTGGTGTGAAACATTCAATTCATCAAATCAGACATTAGATATCAGACATAGATAGACAACTGGGTCTTGTCTCGCTTCTTCCAAAGTTAACTTCATTCGTAAAGTAGCATCACTTTCACCGATTTTACCATTTTTCATATCCTAGCATACCCAAAAGCGAAATATATAATAATAATAAAAAATTTTTAATTTTTTGTAATAAAAAAATTGGTGTAAAACATTTAATTTATCAAATCAGACATTAGACAATTTAAACAGTATGATACTTGTTTAAAATAAAATATAAAAAACATGTTTCACAAATTTTTTTTTGAAGGAGATGGTCTGTGTAAATATGAACTGTTTTCTTTTAACATATGAAGAACACACCCTTTCATTAAAACTTTTCTTACAAGTGCTAAGAAATGCATTAATGTGCGAATTGTTTTCAAGATAATATATAGGATAATAGAGAAAGCATTACAAAGCAAAATGATGAACTTTTTCTTCTTTAATAAAAATGATATGCTTCTGAAAATCAAAAAAGTGTAGATTAAATTAAAGCAGATTAAACTGAACTAATATTTATCTAAATCAATTAAACTAAATCAATTTTTCAAAATCTGTTAAAGTTTAACATATTTTTACTTGTACAAAATTCTAGTGATATCATTTTGTGTGAGCAATACAAAATTTTTTAACTATGTTGCACTATCCAAGAAGATGGTTACCATCAACCGGAGGGGTTGTCATAAAATTTTGCATAAAAAGTCAAATATGCAGAAAAATACATCAAATAATTAGGGTTTAAGCAAAAAAAACTGTTAAATTTATTTCTTTAGAATTAAACAAAATGTTTAATTTAAGAAAAAAGGACAAATTACTTGAAACAGCTGAAGACTTTCCTTGACTGGACGATTCCTCCAAGGAGATGGAGGTGGATTGAATCCTTTTAACTCTTCCTGCTTTTGATGGCAAATATATGCTAAATCCTTCTTAATGAGAGTACAGGCAAATTCATACAACTGGTCAAAATAATCTGATGAATGACTTATTATTGAAGGCTTGTAACCTAAATTTATAAAACTTTTATTAAAATGCTAAAGACATTAAAATTGTGCACAATCACAGTCCACAATCTGATAAAATGAACCAACAATAATAATAAATATGTTATGTAATAGGTGACAGAATTTTATCAGGCTTTCTGTGGCATACCTCTCTAATACTAATATCTTTCTGCAAGATAGTTAAAAATAACAAATATATATGTTACTAGTTTAAAGTAATCGAAACGTTAACTTCAAAAAAAAAAATAATAATATTTAAATTAAATAAATAAAAAATATTAATTTTTTTAATCGAATATGTGATTTTTTTATACTAATATTATGGGCGATATTCTCGCATTTTGTAGAAAGATAACACATCAATTATTTCCTTTTTCGCATTTTTAATTCATCATCACATTTAAAAAAATGTAAAATCTGTAGCAGTTAACTGCCGTAAAAAGAAAAGACGACGAAATCTCGAGAATCGGACTCTTCAAAAAAGGGGTTACTAGATGCGTGTTTTCATTTCGAGATTTAGTTGTGATAAATAATATCGGTTTTAAAAAGCTATGTGGAAATCAGTAGTAATTACTGCAAGAAAAAATTAGAACAAATATTTCCACAGAAAAGAAAACCAAATTTTTTACTTCATTATTCTTTACTTTTCATAATCCTCCAATGAGAATAGAAAAGACACAGGCATTTTTTTACCACTCCAATGCACGAGAAAGGCATCTTTTGAATATGATTCTGAAGAAAAGATAAAATCTCTTGAAAATTTCAGCAGAAAAGAAAAGCAAAATTTCCCAAACGAAAAATTCTTCTGCAAGAACTCTGTAACGTTCTGCCATGGGGTGTACAACCAAGTTGCAGGACATTCAAGTTTATCCTTAATTACATATAGCTTCATTTATTAAAATTTTTCAAACTGTACTCACTGGGTCATGTTATTTAGATATTTATAAGTCAAATATAAATATGACTAAAATTTATTTAAAGCTTAGAATAGGTATTTTACTTTTTTCTCAATGAATACACAAGAGCCAAGGTGGATCAGGTGACAAGAGCACCTACCAATGAGGTGATCTGTTTTTGAATTCCAGCGATGGCTGGTCAATATGAATTCTGGGCCTGTCTTGCACCAACCATAGTACTGATGTTAAGTATACTCAGTGATAGACGGATTCTGGAATAGAGTCCCTTTGCCGTCAGGATAACTGTGGGAGGTTGTCATGGTTTTACTCTCCATATGATGCAATGCAGCTTAGTTTCATCAAAAAGTTCTCCATTAAGACAAATTTCTCCCACTACTTGAACCAGGAGAACTTCTGGATAGAGATAAAAATTACAAGGCTACAGATCTGGACATTGGTAATTGCAAACTTAAACAATTGGGTCTGCTGTTCAAAGACGGTGATATTCAGATTTTATCAAGTTAACTTAAATATAGGATCGAATAAAAAAATAATACGCTACAACTACTTTTTTAGTACGCTCCTAAGAAAATTAAGGCAAAATTGTATTACAAAAATTATCTTACATCAAGAAATAAAGCATAATGAAATATAATCAATTTTATAAAAAATTTTCTTTTCTCACTTCCTCAGTTTACACGCACCTAGCCAATTTACCATCTCAACAATTTCTCTGAAGAACTTTTCTTCTTCCTTTTCTGGATTAGTGTCATCAAATCGTAAAAAACAAATACCATCATGTGCTTGCGCATAACCAAAATTAATGTTTATTGCTTTAGCATGCCCAATATGCAATATGCCATTTGGTTCAGGAGGGAATCTAGTGCGTACCTGAAACAAACATTTAAAAAAAATGTTTTATTTAGCTTAGATTTAAAATAACTTTAATCAAGCAATTAGTTACATGCTAATAGCTAATTAGCAATTATCTTCAAACAACAATTTAACTACAAAGTACATGTGTCATCTTAAACATTATTGAACATATGATAAAAGTAGGAACATGAGAGAAAAAAAAAAATTTTTTTAGGGTTCCCACTCAATTTTCAAAAAAAAATTCAAGGACTTCGCTATGATGTTTAAGAACCAAAAATCAAATTTTTCAAGGACCTATTCAGTATTACAGTTAGCAATAGCATGATAAAGTATTACAGTATATGCCAACCAGATTTTTCCAATTGACATAGGATACTTGCCAACTTTTAAAAATTAGCATCAGTGAAACTTTTCATGAAAGATTTAATGAAGTAAATTAAAATTAATCAAAAAATAACATTAGGTTAAACAAGCATAGTAAATAAATGATAAAGTTTATTATATAATTGCACGGTTACTAAAATACAAATACTCTTTATTTTAATATGTTAAATCAAACTTTAGATTAAAAGAAAAGTACACAGTTCGATAAAATATCAAAATATATCAATTTCGCCTATCTATTTCAATTTTAATAACAGTATATTTATTTGTTACTTCAGAGTGTCAGTAATTTATTTTGAACATAACAAAATCTATTGTAGAACAGTATTTTACAAATAACAAACTAAGACCTACCAAGCTTTATTTTTTTAAAAATAGATCCATAAAACACAAAGCGAAATGTTTGAAAGTTTGTGAAATTGCAAAATTTTTACTATTTTACTATGTATAATTTTTAAATCACATTTATACACATCTCGATATTCTACATGTAAATCGAAATTATATGAAAGGTGAAGTAAGTCCTGAATGAAGTAAATCATGTATCACAATGCACGATTTGCAAATTAAAAAAGTGTGGTACATGTACCCCCAGGGGTACAGGAACAGTTTAGCAGGGGTACGTCTTCTTATGCGAAATATCTTGCAACAAACAAAAATTTCAAAAACTTTTACTTAAAAAGCCATGTTAAGTTAGCCATGAAAATTTATGATTACATATCTTTTTATTGCCTATTTTTTGCAGAGTTAACAGTTAGTAATATTAATTAGTGGTATCAACAGCCAGTTGTGATTTTAAATTTTTGTGCAATTTTTTATAGTAAAATATACATTCATTTTTTTATTAATGGTACACAGCGCTACGAAAAATTTAGAAAGGGTAGGCAAAAGTCATAAGTTTGGGAAACAGTGACATATGCAATGGATCGACATTTACACAGGTGGTATGTTTTCTATGAATACATATAATATTTATCTAAATTACTATACATAGTTGTACATAAACTTCTTTTTTTGTTACAAACCAGCAAAAAAAGGTATTTACATATAAGCCAGAGGAGCTGATAAACAAATTATTAAATCAAAACAAACTCACAAAGCAAAAGAACAGACATTAAGAATTTTTTAAACCCTATGTTAATTAAACTACAAAATAGAGTGAAATTTTTAAAGACAGAGAAAAAAATCAAACAATTTAAAGATTGTTAGAAGTTACGATCTTTAAAAAGTTAAAACAAAGCCGAAGAAAAATTAAGAAGAAAAATCTATTATAAAAAATTTAAAACAGAAAGTACGTTTCAGACTTCAAAGTTCAACAAACACGAAATTTAAATACTGAAAGTAGTGTATGTAAAAAACGTAAAAACTATCCAACTCAAGCTTTACTTTGCTACACAAAATATCATTTTGTGACCCTTTCATACCCCCTGGTAATAATAAAATGATAAACACTTATACAATGACAACAAATGATAAACACAAGATAAACACTTTAAAGATAATAAAGCGCACACAAATTTTTACCTAGAATATGAATTAATCCTTAAAATGTTAATTCTCAAACCTTAATTCTCAAAGATCTTAAACTCTTAATCAACATGTTTTTCCTTTATTTTTTAAACAGGTTTCACTGTAAGACTTTGCAAAAAGGTTTGATAGTCAACTGAATGGCACTTCTGATAGTGAGTTTTGAGTTTTAAAGATCAATTTAATCATCATAATAAAGTAAAAGTATAGAAATAATTACAAAAAACAAATGCAGTACAAATTTTTGACTTACTACTTAAAATTTTAAGTTTTTGGTAATTAAAGTGAATAAATTAGTTTTAAATTAAATCCCTAAATAAAAAAATCAACATTTGCAATTGAAAAAATGCAACTATTCTTGATATTTCTCAAAACCGAGATTTTAGATAGATTAACACCTTTCACAGTGATTTATTCTCATATTTATTTGAGAATAAAAATTTATGAATTTACAAAACTTGCCTGGTTTTTAAAAATGTACCTAAACAATCCTTAAAAAATTAGAGTAAATGTAAAGCAAAATTATTCTCAATCCAAGAGATTTAAAAATTTTGAAATCAGAACTGCCCTTTACTTCAAAAACCATATTTTTAGGAATACTTAGAAAAATTATAAATAAATAAATTTTAAACATATGTGGAGGTTTTTAATAAATCATTAAATGCTATATAACATGACAAAAATTTGTACCTGTCCTTTAGTTTCTTCTAAATGTTTCTTAAGAAGTTCCATTGTATTTGGTGTTATAACAAATCCATCTGTTTTATAATTTTCACCAGGTTTATGAAAGCTGAGCTTTTTCATCACATCATTAATTGAACGACCTGGAAAAAAATTTTGGTTAATGACAAGAATGAAGAGTGAATATTTATTTATTTTTTAAAAATTATTAAATTTTTTTATTCTGTTAAAAAGCTTGATTCATAAAATATGTGTGGTTTTAAAAAAAAAATGTTTTTTTTTAATTTATTTGAAATAATCGAATTAAAATAACTTTTAGGTCATTTTTGCTTTATTTGATTTAATTTATTATTATTTTAAGAAGAATTTAATAAAAAAATTTATAAAGTTTTGTAATTATTCACAAAAATATGTATTCATTTCTTCAATGCAGAATACTCCTTGTTACATATAATACTTTCAGATTCAAAACGATTGGAAATAAAAAAAATTAATATTTGCACAAAATATTTGAATGCAGCTTACATTATATCTGCAATTTTTTTAATCTATTTATTTTTTAATTTATTTTTCTCTTTATCATTTTAACAGAAAAATATCTCTTTATGCATTTTTTTTCCCATAAATACGTTAAGAAAAACATTTCAAATTAGTTTCAAAAGAATTTTTCTACTTTTGTGCATCTAAATAAGGAAAGTAACCAAAAATTCACCTACTTTCTACTTCAACTTCTTTCTCTTTGTTGGAAACAATATTTTCCTTTTTTTCTTTAACCTTTAGTAGAAAGAAACTAAAATTAGAACTTTAAAACATAGAAAATATATAACATTACAATTATTTAAATTCTAAAAAAATGTAGTGTTACAAAAACATAATAAATAAATAATAGTAATGATACGTAAAATTAACACAGAAATTTAATCAAATATAATTTTAAGGCTAAAAAATGTTGTAAGGAAAATTTTTTATATGAGAACTTACTAAAAATAAAGTGCTGACAGAAATAAAAAAATATTTATTTAAATATCACAATGAGAGGTGGTTATTTATACATTGAACATTGTTTTAATATATGTTAATAAAACATTATAATACAACAATTATGTTATTAGTAACTTTCATTTATGTACCATTAAAAAATTTTCCAAATAAACTTATAAAGATGGAAAATGGGTTTTACATTTTTGAAAAAAAAATTGCAGCAAGATTGAAAATATTAATTAAGAAAATTATTAAATAATAAAAAATAGAGAATTTCAAAACTTTCTGGGAAAGCCTACACAGTATAATTTTTGATGAATAAAAAGATCTACAATAGATACAATTAAGGGGGCTATTAAAACAATTCAAATTAATTTTAATTTAAGAGTTACAAAAATTTTAATTTTTTTTAAAATTTTATTCACGTAAATATATTCAATCTGAAAGAAAGCTAAAATTATAATCTGGATCTAAAGGTAAAATTAAAATGTCAGAGATTTACCAATCACCACTTTTCACTTTAACTTATAGTAGTTGAGAGAAAGACATTACAAACACATACTGCATATATCATTCGAAGTGATTTCAAAATATAAGATATATAATACTGAAAAGCATTTCTATTTCAAAACTCAACAAGTTTTTTAGCTATTCATGAAGAAAAAAAATGATACAGAATAACAAGATGCAAATACACCATATTAAAGCATTAATAAAAATTGATTTGCTGAAAATTTCAAAAAAAAAAAAAAAAAAAAAAAAAAAAAAAAAAAAAAAAAAAACTGGCAAGGATTGAAATGTTGAAATGAATGTGAAGTTTTATAAAACAAAAACCACATTGAATACAAGTGTGTCATGTGTAATGTAATATGTGTGTGCGTGTAATATATACAAAAAGAAAAGATAACAAAATCAAACACGTCTATATCGTACTTAAAAATAAAAATTAAAACAGGTAACAAATGAAAAAAAGGTCAAAAATAAATCATTTTTAGTAAATAAATAAATAAAAAACCTTCTTCCTTCTAAATTCAAATTACATCTTTTGATGATATTAGAAAAATTTTAAATAAAGATAAGTTTTTTGAAAGTTTAATGAAATTGGTTAATTTAACATGCAATTTTTTTTTCTTTTGTTTAGAATTATTAGATCCTGTTAAAGATTCTCAAGAATGGAGTGATGCCCTATCATATAATGTTCCAATTCTTAATGGTAATTGTCAAAACATATTTTTGCATATAATTAGAATTTTAGAAAACAATGTTCAAAGTTAACTTTTATCCTTCAAACAGAGACACACACATAGCTAAACCTAGACTTACAACTTAAATAATTAATTAAAAAAGTTTACAAAATCACTATTTTTTTGAAGAACGGTGTGAATAAGCTAAAAAATAAAAGTAAAATAATATTAATGTTCAAAAAGCAACAGCAAACACAATTAACCTAGCATCTTCCCTGATTGTAGAAATAAATATAAAAAATTAAAGAAACTACTGATAAACTTTATTGCAATTTTCAAAGTTAACAAGTACAAAAAATACCACACATCTTGACAATATAAAAGAAAGGATTTATTATAAAGAGTATAAAAAATTTATTGTTTTAAGTAAAAATCTAACATTTCCAAACAGTAATGCTTATCTAAACCACTAAACTTGTAATGATAACAAAATTGTTTATCAACACAACTAAATACACAACTTATTAAACTAATTATCAATTATTATTAACAACTTATTAAATTAACATTAACAAAAACTTATTAGTTATTAAACTACAAGATATAAGACCTGATTAACATTATAAAGATAATAACAAAAATATAATTATAATTTTAAGAGTATTTCAACCACTAAAATAAAAAATATTTCCAAAATCTGCAGAGAATTTTCATTAAACTTACTTTTGTTTTTACTGGCTTTATTTTATCAGCCTCCGTTTTTGGTCCCAATACATCTAAAACTTGAAGTTCTACCTCACTTCTAATAAATTTACCATCAGCAAATGGAAGTGCTTTACGAGCTTCAGCTATAAATAAATAGACAAGAAAAACGAATACCATATATTAAACAAGAGAATAAGATAACAAGAAAATACCCCTGTAAAAGGGTATACGATAAAACTTAACAGCTAATTTAAAGACCAAAGTTTTCTTCATCAATAATTAATAACACTTTCTGAAAGCAAAAACATAACACATTTGGTGAAATGTCAGCAAAATATTTTTAGATGAAAGTTAGGAAATAAAGAAAGCGTGATTAATTACAAACAGTACAATAAATGTGTTAGCAACAAATTTCTTTTTCTTTTTTTTTTTTAAAAAAAGGAAAGAAGAAGAAAAAAAAAATGAAAGTTAAATAAAGGGAATGTTTATAACTGCATGATGTGCCTTCCAAATAAGAAAGCTTCAGTTACCAAAATTGAAGATTTTATTGTTTCAAACTTGCCATTTTTAATTTATCTGAAGAACTTGCATTTAAATAAACCAATATGTATTTTAAAGCTTAAATCTTATAGAAAACTAAACAACTGAGGATATAGTAAAAATAAATGTAGACAGCTCAGTGAACTATTTAAATACTAATTTTTTACATGCTGATCCAAAGATCAGATGGAACTGAGCTCTAAATTCGTAACTTACATATTTAGTTTTTCTATATATTAATAATCTACTTACAGAATTTACCAATCAGCCTATAATTAATTACTCTGGGGAAAATATACAAAGATATTTTATGCCGTAAGATATTATAAAAATACAAATTAAATAATTGCTTTTTATTGCCTTGAATGATGAATTTATCGCCTTGAATGATGAAGGTAGCTTCAATTACTATTCCACTAAATTTTTAAAACATAACTTTTTAATTCATGAAGAAAACATGATTGAATAAATCGTATGTTGCCTTCTGTACCAAGAAAATTTTGAAAATTATGAGAATCCAAAGTAATTAGCTGCAAGAGACCTCAGCTTTTGCTTTATTTTAATCGTGGAGAATTTGCTTATATTGTAAACGGTATACTCTTTCCCCATTTAACATGTTTTTTTTAAGACTAAAAATAAAGTGAAATATGTAAAACCAAAGGCAAAAATAAGTAAACTAAAACAAACAAAAAAAGATTATTAAGAATATAAATTCAATGGTTAAGGGCTAATTTAAAGGATCATTAAAATCAAATAACAAAATATCATATTGCTGATATTGATTATCATATAGCAATACCAATCTATGTATCTGCTCTCATCATACCATAATAAGAATTTTAATTTATAATATGAATGTAATATGACAGAACCACTAACATTTTCATGTATTTGATGTTAGAGTATCACGAAATTTTTTTAAATTTATAATTAAAAAATGAAAATAAAGAAAATGAACTAGATCTAACTTCAAAAAAATTGAAGAAAAATAATTTTAAAAAATGAAAACAATTTTTCAAAAAATAATCAAGATCAAGACAGTTAAAAAAATTATTTAGATTAAGCATTGATTATTTAGAACAGTTATTTAAGAAAGCCAAACTGACGGAGGGAAAGAAAAAATTAAACATTAATAAAATTAAGAGAAATAAACAAATAAAATTAAAAAAACTAAATAGTGAAAAAATAATTTTATTAAACATAATTAATTAGTAGTTAAGGATCCATTAAGCAGATATAAAAGTGTTCTCCCAAAGCGCTTTTAGAAGGGCAGTCTGTCCTGCCTGCCGTGCGATCTCTATACCCATTTCTGAGAGGCAGTGCCCAGCCCTTTTTTATTCCTAGGGAGAACTCTGTATATAAAACTTAATTAAATTAAAGAAAAAAGAAATCTATTTTATAACATAAAAATTGAAAGAATTTTAGCAACATTTAAATGAAGAAAAATCAACTATATTAGAGGATATAGCAAGGATTTGACAAAATAGATAAAGTGAAACCTCTTGGGAGTAGTAAAATGGTTGTTGATCATTCTCTATTAACTTCAAAATTTTATCGAAGGTACATCATTTTTTACAAATGATTTTAATTTTAGTCAGTCCCATTTTTTTACGAGGAAATGCCACTTTTGTTGGTGTCAGGAAAATTGGATCAATAAATAAAATTTAGAATTATCCCTACTGATATAATTATGTGCAAAAACTAATTTATCTTATTATGAATAATAGAACTTTAAAGAAATAAACAATTATATTTTCTGTTTAAGATTACATTTTATTTTATATCATAAGAATTAGATAGCTTTAAAAAATGAGAAGAGGTTTGTTTGAAATGTTAAGTTTTTTCTAAAAGAACTTATTTTTTTCTAATTTAACTTTTGACTCTAAAAATAAATCATTAATAGCATAGTTCTTAGTGCACTTTGACTGCAACAAAAGGTTGTAAATTTATTTCAGAGATCGTCAAAAAGAGCTTTCTAAATAAAAGCTTGACAAAAATATTTTGAACACATTGCAATCTACTTATATGCTTTGTTAATATTTTTTTAAAAATATTTTTTCGTGTTTCCATGTTTCACTTTTTTCGTATTTGGTGCAGAGACTTGTCTGGTAGCAGGAAGAGGTTTTTAATGGTTGCTCAAAAAGGGTTACTTCAATGCAAAGTCTATGGAAAAAATTCTGTGCCTCCCAAAAGTGATCGTAAATAGAGGAGGACACAACATAAAGGTGGTCTTTCCTGAAAGTTTCACTCTATATTGTAATATTTAGATATATAAATAGAAAATTAAAAACAGAATTTTAAAAATTAAATACAAAAAAATATGATTTTTTAAAAGTCAGAGAGCTTACCCATCAATAACCCTTGATTAAAGAAATATCTTTCTTTGATAAGTGTTTCACGATGAGCAGCTATGACCTTTTCAACAGTTTTTTCAATTTCTTCAGGTGTGACTGATATTCCAACTCCGGCATTTTTTTCAAACTCTTTTAAGTTTGTATTTTCATCAGCATGATCCATTAAATATGAAAAAGCAGCTAAATGGAGAAAAGGTTTTCCATTATTGCAATTTAAATTGAAATAAAAATTTTAAAAAAATTAAAATAAATAAAACGAAATTTTTTTTAAAAAAATGCTGTTTTTTGCATGAATATATATAATTTTTTAACTTAATAAATTATGGTTAAAAAGAGCTGCAATGGCTTAGTGGTTACGGCACTAAACTATCATTGTTAAGAACTGGGGTTCAATCCCCAGTGGTTTAGTTGAATCCCACCCAGCTTTAGATTATTGGGTACCAGGTTGCCTAGAAAGTAGAGGCGGTCTGTGTACGTTGCCACAATCATGCCATTGGTCATAAAATTATGCATTTAATAGTCTTAACCGTCATGACCTCCCAGACCCACAATGAGCTGTTGCAAGAATATTCTGCATTATAAAAATTAGATTTTTATAATTGTTTAAAATTATATAATTGCATAGTAAGATATGCATAATGATAAGGCACAAAATAAATAAACAAGTAAAAACACACTATCATGAATAAATGATAAATCTTTCATTGATAAATGATATGCGCATTGAAAATCCAATTTAGATCAGCAGGTATTTCTACTGAGCAAATCAGTTTCTACCATTTTATTATGCCAACAGTATATATATATATATATGTATATATATATATNTATAAAAATTAACAAAAACTGGTTCTATTTGGGAAAAGCCAGAAAATTTAACCACAAACATCCATGAAATTAGACCCATTACTTTGCAAATGTTATTTTATACATTTTCAGTTTTCAAATAAGAATAACAATCAGATTTTTAGAAAAATCATATGTCATAATTGTTGGCACAGTTTGAAAAACCAAAATGAATGTTTTAACATAATTACATGAATTTCCCTACAAAAACAATGTTTTTCATGAATTAAAATATTTCAAACAGTCGTAAAATTTATTATTATTTGGTATAAAACAACACTTTAAAATCACGGTGGGTTCTAAAAATGTATAAGGATCTCCTCCCCCTCATTAGAAAAGAAAGAAGAAATGGAAACTGATGCATACATCACATGGTATCACTACAGAGAGAGGTTAGAAATTGTACATAGCAATTGCATACAACTGTAAATTTGTGAAAATAGGTCCATTGTCTTTCAAACATTACTTTGCACTATTTAATTATTCATATGGAAATAATATTCAGGTTTAAACTATCTTATTCTGGTGATACCAATGAAACATAATTTTAATTAGGCTACATAATTTTGATTTATGCTTTGAATTTTAATTAGGCTATTCTTAATTAATTTTTTCTTTTTGTTTTTATTTATTTTAAAGTTAAATTTATAAAAACTAAACTTTCTATAAAAATTTAAAAATTTTGCAGCAATAAATTTACTTTTTTTCAAGATTCATAAAGATTAATATTTATGCCCATATAATAAATATATCAAATAATTTATTTACAAAAGGAATTGGAAGAAGAAAAAAATTTAAAAGTAACAAGTAAAACATGCATACATTGTAGTTGTTACTATCAAATGTATATTATAGCAAAACACACATAATATACATAAAGTAAAACATGCATATTATGCTATATGTTGTTTTGCTTGTTATCACTGTGATTATACCCCAATGATTCGTTGCCTCCTTGATTTAGAAATAGTTCAAAATGTTATATCAAATGAAGAAATTATTTATCAAGTAATACCTGGGTGTGTGAGGGGCAAATATATAAACAGATTAGTTATAAATATTGTCACATGGTGAAAGGATAAAAATATGAAAATAAAATTTTAAAAATTATGAAGATAATTCAGAATTCTCCATAGGAATAAAAAAAGGCAGGATTCTTTCTCAACGAAAAGGGCACACTTAACACGATAAAATTTTATCAAAAGGTGTAACATTTTGCAATATATAGCTAAATTTGATCATCAACAATTTTTAACTACCCTCTGATTTTATTTTATGTGTATATTTCAAAAAGTAATTCTCATTCATTATCAAAATAAGAGAATAATTTAAATTTTATAAAAAATAATTAAAGGCATGCTAAAAGTCAATCTCGGCGCATAAATTATTTTTTAAAATAAAGTAAATTTAAAAAAGTTATTAATTAATAAATAACTTGAAAGATTTTTTCTATAATTTCAACTGGAAATAACACAAAAATGAACTATAATAAAATTAATGCCCTTTTAAAAACACAGACTATTTTTAAAAAGTTTAGCTAAAATTATAAATAGAGCAGATAAATGTATAATTTTACTAATAATAGATAGGGAAAAAATAGGCAATGAATTAACTTTAAAAATATGTACTTATATATTTAATAAAATATCTTCAAAGGAACAACATATACTTCAAAAAAGCAAACAAATAATTGAAATTGTTTCATGAATTATTTTACCATTTAATTTAATTTCACTGTCAATTTTTCCTTGGGCAACATACTCTACAAGCAACTCAACTTTTGACTGTATCTGAGGTTTTACTTTGCAAGCAACATTATACAATAGGTTGCCTACAGCTTTAGGAATTCCATTCGAAGAGTATTTTTTTGCCTGAAAAAATAAAAACAAATATGCGAAAAAAGTACAGCAATAAAAATAAAGTTTCAAAATATATTAATTTGCAAAACCAGATACAATAAATCTACTAGAAGAAAATAAAATTAGGTACAATGGGGTACAATTAAATTGACAATATATTTTAATATTGAGGAGTTTTACAATTTAAATACATAAAGACAGACTATCTCTAATGGATGCAGATTCGAACCCTACAAATTGAATTTAGTCAAAACAATCAGTCAATTTGTTCTCTTAATTCCAACTACATTGATGTAATTTGGGAAGTGATAAACAAATTTCAGTTCCACAATGAATATCGTCGAGAAAAGGACAATGGTTATGCCTTACTTCTCTTTACGCTCGAGTAGGGCATGAGGCTAGGAACAAGGCATGTCACCCCTTCCAGTCCAGCACTGCCTTCGTGGCACTCCCGAGCTCGGTTATTCGCAAGCATTTCTTTCTTTTAAGATTATTTGAAGTCAGGTTAGTTTTAGTTGTCCTCTTTTTATCTTTCCATCTGGGGTCAACATCATAGCTATTCCTGTTGAGTCTGATAGCCTCATTCTGAGAAAGTGTCCAACTGATGTTCATTTGTGTTTTTAACTTAAATATTTTAAGTTAAAAATAAATTTTTAAGATTTCTCGAGGTTGTTTTAAATGCATAAAGTTGATTTTCCTGTTGTTTTGTCGATTTCCAAACGCTGCTGCCATAAAGTAGGACTGCTCTTACTGTTGAGTTGAAAATTTGCATTTCCAACTTTCTTTGGATGTGTTCTGATCTCCATATTTTATTGTTTTCAACATGAATCGTGCTTTTTTAATTGTTATAGTGATATCTTTATTTGTCCAATAGTTGATCAATATGTTGGGCCCAAAATAAGCAAAATGTTTTACTTCCTCAATTTCCTTTTCATTTTTGAATAAGTTTTCGATTTTATTGCTGTTTATTTTTATCAATCTTGGGTTAATTTATTTGCAATCCAATTCGTTTCGCATTTATCCCTAAATTATTTACCTTTAACTTCATAATTCGCTGAAAAAGTATTATGATAATTATATAGCACAAAGTCATCAGCATAGTCAAGATCTTTAAAATGACTATTGTATCTAAATTTATCTTATTCCTGTACTACATCCTTTTAAGGTCTGTGCCATGATCCTGTCAATGGCGATGTTGAAAAATAATCTAGATAATACACAACCATGCCTGACTCCTGTTTTGATGTCAAACTTTTCAGTAGTGTTCCTGTTCCATCCTCTTTAATTATTAGAAATATCTAGAAGTCAGTCAATATTTCATAACACCTAAAAAATAACTTTACGGAAGATATTTCTATTAATCTGCAATATTGCTTACCATTAATGTTTTATCTTCACTTTAAAAACAGTAATTGTATGATAAATACTTATTTTTTTCAGGTGATAATTTTTTTGTATAAATCAATAATTTGTATACATTTTTTGCAAGAAAAATTTTTTGATTGCTACTAAGTTAAAATGGAGGAAATAGAATGCTAAGAACACAAATGTGTAGAAAAAAGTTTATTATAAAATATTATTTCTCAATTTAATTGCTTAAAAAACACTAACATGCAGTACAGTGAAATTTGTAAAGCTATTCAACGTATATTAATTTTGCTCCCCGCCGAAAGAAAAAAATTGGATGCTTGTGAGAGCCACGAGTTTTAGTACACAGTGACTTTTTAAAGTTAGAGAAAATTAGAGTTCTGGTACACAAATGTGAACAAAAAAACTTCATATTCAAATATTATTTCTCTATTTAATAGTTTTGAAAAAGAACTAGGATTCCTGCAAGAGCCATGATTTGTAGAATAAAACAACTATGTATACTATGAACAGATTCAATAGTGAAAACTATAAACACAGTTAGTATTTTAATACAATAAAAAGTTATCATTTGTATCAAAGATTAAGATAAACAATTTGCTAATGATTTTCAGAAACCAGTATAACTTTATGTACAAGCCATGCAATTTTCGGAACACCATTACTTCAATTACATCCAAAAATCAGAATTCAATATTTTAGGCCATTATTCAGTCTAAAATATTATTATTCACATTTATTAATTTTCTTATAAATTTCTATATTTGTTTGGAAGATTGCAAATGGAAACTACATTTTAAGCAATACTACATTCAGTGTTTCAAATAAAAAATAAAGATCAAATTTTAAAAAAGGCCAAGGAATTACTAATCTGACAATAATAAAAAAATAGCACTTTTTTGCACACAAATTATTTACTATTTTGCTCAATAAAATTTTAATTTAATGTGCTGTTACAAAAATGTATGTTTAAAATTCCAAGTTTATTAGATTACTTTAGAAAAATTTATAAAACAATATTTTGCAATTAAGGATCATAAAGAGGTTTTGTTGCATCAAAAGAGAAAAAGGATTAGTTTATTTAAAGACTGATGCAATACAAATTATAGCATTAAAAAAAGAGTAAACATACTGTATTTTAAATAAAATTTAAACTAAACATAACTAGAGCTTTAAACTTTGCCTTTGCACCATATCATTTATATGTGAATTAAATGAGAATAATGTGACCAACTCTTAACAGCATCTCTTAGAAAAATTTAGTGGAGTTGCTCTGGCTGCTTACATACATCACTATCTAAATAATGCATATCAAACTCATGAAAACAAAAGCTGCAGCTAAAGTAAAAACTTAACACAGAGACACAAATCATCCATGATCAATCACCTGGCATTAAATCAAACCATGTGCTACAGTAACAAGCCCTAACAATATAACATAGCTTTATCATTTTTTACTTTTGTGGATGCATTTCAAAGTTGGTATCATATCTTTCAAGTAGGAAGCAAATAGTTACTACATTTATGCGTGCTTTGTAAAGAAAAAAACAAATCAACAATACTGTTTAAAATTAATTTTAAAAAAATAGTTATCTTTAATAAATTTAAAAATAAACAAATTTTAAAATATAATAAATCTGTGCTTATTTTATTTTAAGATTAATGGTTATTTACTAATCATTCAACATTGTACGAAATAATGATGCAATGGTTGTTTACCAATTCTATTATAGTAACTAATTCCTTTAACAGCTTTTCATTTTTAGCTGTTTCTTTAGCTTTCTGTTCACTAAGTCCAATCGACATTAAAGTTTCTAGAAACATTTTGATAGATTCCCCCACTATCAACTGTCTGTCAAACTTTTTGGTGAACTGTGTGTCCGTGGCGAACCCAATCCGGCGACCAGATGTAATGTTTGTTTTTCCTCCGATACGTAATTGATGCCAACAAAATCTACAAAATTAACCAGCATGCTTTGGGACGGTTTTCACTGCATTACAAAAAATCGCAAATGCATAACTATTTCGCCAATAACGGTTTATTTGCTTACAAAGAGAATGGTGCGGAGAAACTAAAAATATTTTGTTCAAGTGTTACCTGCGTCATTTATGAATTTTATTATTGGTGAAGGTCTAGGAGGAATCCCTGAGGATGATCCAAAGACAATTTTGATCCTCTGCAGAGGAGATGGCACCCCCGTTTCGGGGGCTTGACGGTAGGCGCGCAGTCGATCACCTTAAAGTAGAATAAACAAGGACCAATACCACACACCCTCGGTCCATGGTAGGCTGATCAGAGGGGTTACCCACCAGTACACTGACCACAGCCAGTGATGAACATCAATTTAATAGAAGTGTTACTGTCATCTGTAATACGTAATCTAAAGTTCAGTTTTTAATGTGACTATTTAAAAAAATGTGTTAGATTTGCACAATGGGCTATTGGTGACAGTCTGGATATTATCCCTGAGGATGATTCGAAGACATGCCATCACAATTTTGATCATCAGCAAAGGGGATGACTCCCCTACTGTGGTAGCCCAACGACTGTGCCAGAAGTAGAGCACTTTACGGTAGCACAGTTTAACGAGAACTCATAACACGCACCCTCAGTCTCAAGAGCAGGTTTATCAAAGTGGTCACCCACCCGCATACTGACCGCAGCCAGTAACACTACTGTTCTATTGGGAACCAAGTCTTTACAATCAGTCCACTGGGGGACTTGTCCAAATTCACTCAATTTTATTTCTAATACATAGCTATCCTACTCCTTGTTTGATACATGTTTAAGAAATTGTGTTTGGTGTTCATGTTTATTGATATGTTCAACTTTATATGGTAGTCACCAGCATGAAAAAAAGAAAATTTAACTTGTTTTTAACAGTTATGTAAAATGTAACTGTTTTGATTTATTTTTTCCCCTAAAAGGATGTTTACAATTGTGACTGCACAAAAAAAATTTTAAATTATAAGAATTCGCAGAACTATAACAATTACATTAGGTCAGTTTTTCTTAACTTAGGGATATATCCATATCCTAATTTGTGGTAGAATAATTGCCAAGACTTGGCAACTTCCAGAAACTAAAAAGAAGATTACAATAAAGGACCAACTCGAAAGGTACAACTAGTAGCCACCCCAGGGCAAACATCTACATGTTTTTTCTTCTTAAAGATTTCCAAGTTTAAAATCTATTTGCATGACAGATCAGAATGCAGAGATCCCCCACCCCCAAACTTGGAGTTTGCTCCATAATTATCTGAGGCTACTATTTGAAAATAGACAAATAAGTTTAAATCTTAAGATATTCCAACTTTCTTTTTTAGTTGTCCATCCTCAAACTTTTGTGTCGAACTACAATGTTTTGAAAACAAATTTTCAATTTTGATACTAAATATTTTCCAAAGCTAACACTACTATTTCTTTTCCCCGAAATAAAAATTTGTATGAAACTGAGTTATTTTCTTTTTATTCATGGTCCATAAGTTGAGAGTATATTTTAAGAACAAAAATTCAACCAGATTCAATAAGAATGTTCCCTAAGTTTAAGACTACTGTTTACTTTTCAAAAGTTGAAAGAATTTAGTGAAAGCTTAGATAGACCCGCTAAGATGATAAATCTTCCAAAATGTATTTTTTGTGAATGGGCTTAGTACACAATATTAGAAAGTTAACAAAGGCAACAAGTATTTGCAGTCAACTTTTCACACAAGAGAATTTTATTTTTTAACTTATATTACTTTGAAACTTTAAATTAAACTTGGAATAAATTCTTATGCATCTAAACGAATTCCCCAATTTGAGGCAAACTACAATAGCTTTTCCATTACAGAAAGGTCTTTTTCGAAAGTTTTTAACAGCACTATAATGTGTAGTTTTTTTTTAAATTTATTTATTAAACAGAAAACAGTTCTCTTGAAATTAGCTTTAACAAACACTTTTACACACAATTCTACTGTTGATTTTAATATTAGCAATCAGGGGTAGCAGCAAAGTTTTTTAAAATTTTAGGAACTTTTTTCAAAAATTTTTAGGTAAATTTTAGGGGTAATATATGATTTTGTTAGGATAAAAATAGATCACACGGTAGTTTATTACATAGCAGAAGATTATTACAATTCATCCACACATATCATAAATAATTGCAAGCCATAAAATAAAGCTCTGAAATTTATTAAGTCAAGAATGAAATCTCTAAAGTGTAAAAATGAAATTTCAACTTTACATATTACCTATCAGAAATTAAGTGCATAATTCAGGAACAGGCAAAAGTGAGAATAAATCAAGAGAAAAAATAAATTAACACCAACTTGGATTTTTATTTAATTTTTACCTTCTTAATCAAAACTTTATTATTACCCTTTACCTTACTTTATTAAGAAAAACTATTGTGTGATATTATTAGATTTCAAATCAGCAATTTATACTAGAAGTTAGAGAAAAACAAATTAATCATGATCATTTTTCTAAAATATTCTTGATATGATTTGTGAGATTCTTTTACTGCCCTCAATAGTGTTGTGGTGATCTTCAACACTCCTCCATAATTTCGAATGGTATCTTTTATTAGTCTAAAAGACATAATAGTATTCTCATGGTGACTCACATTAAGCATTGCTTTATTCATAGAAAAACCTCTCTCAGGATCAGAATTCCCATGTGGCAAAATTAAAACAGTTTTAATTAATGTAGTTAAATTCTTATATTTCAGACTATTTCTTTTTTTTTATATTTAGCCTATAACTAATTTTTTAGGAACACCAACAAAATTTTATCATATTTTTAGGAATTTTAGGGTTTGCACATACTTTTAGGAATTTTAGGGGGAATGCGACCCCTGAGCAATACTTTAAAGAGAAATTAAGCCCACCTTTTGTACAAAGTTTGTGATAATTTGAAAAAACTTGTGATAATTTTTGAATAGCCAAAATTAACTTGCAAATAGAAATTATAATGCACTTAGACAAACAAATTTGTCAGTATATTAGTTTTAAATGAAAGCCCACTTTATCGTAATGTTCAGTTACCGAATTAAATTTTTTTAACACAAATTTATAATTTACAAACGTTACTGATAAAGAGGAGCGTGGCACACACATACATTTTTATTATAAGTTTTATTTTAAATTCTAAATTTAAAAATAAGTTAGCTGTAGTATTAAATTGCATGTAAATTTAGTTCTTTCATCAAGTTAAAACTGAACATTTCTAACAGAATTAAGGTAGAAAATTAAAATAAAATACCTTAACGTACTTGTTTCACTTATAGCTTTAATTTTCAAATACCATCCAAAACATTATAAAATATTTTAACTATCCTACACCATCTCCAAAAATTAAAAATTGTTGCATATTTGAAACTATTTTTTAAAAAAAAAGACTGATGACATTGTATACTAAACACTTTCCAAATAAAATCAAAATTCTTATGCCTAGAGACAAAAATATTCTTTGAATAGTCTCAATTGTGGAGCTATCGTAAAGTTATAGATACTAAGAAATTACCCGTTTTAAATTAGAATTAAAATTTAATTAAACCAACATCTAGTATTAGTCATTAAAATACTGATCTAAACATCAATGAGTATTTCAACAAAAAAAAAATTTTGTTTTTAGTTTTAAATTAACACAATTCAGTTCAGCTAATTTTCAACAATCAAATTAAGACAATTTCAAATTCAGAAAAAATAACTCATTTCAACTAAACTTATAGGTTGAAATCTACTTCTAGCAGTAAATTATATACAACATTATAAATTGAACTTATGGATTATTTGAATACGAAAACTGAATAATAACAAAGCTAGAAATAAATGTAGAAAAAAGGTTTGTTTACCTACTTTTTAAGTGAGTTCTTGAATTGCTGAAACAAAACATTAACGCTTAAAAATAAGCTATTAAATAAACACTAGTTGCTAATGAATAAATATACAACTTTTCAAATCGTTATAGCATCTTTATTCAGTTAACATAATATAGAAAATGGAATGAACACTTTGAAAACATGACACGTGAGTATTTTGACAATATGTTGATGAATTTCATATTCTTTACTTTCAAAATTGCAAAATGTCAATACGGCCGATAAAAAGATAATATTAGGGGCACAATTTAAAAAAGCAAATCACAGACAACACTGAAAAAGATGCAATACTGTACAGCAAAAGTTTCGTTATATTCAGCTATCTGAACTTCCAAACTTAGTCAAAGAAAAATTAGAAGAATATAAAAAAATGCTCAATTTTCAAAATTTAAAAACTTTGAAGCTGAACAAGAACTTTAAAAATTATTTGGAGCTCGTATACTTAGTAACAGCCTTAGTACCTTCAGATACAGCATGCTTCGCCAATTCACCAGGTAGCAATAAGCGTACAGCAGTCTGGATTTCTCGGCTTGTAATAGTAGAACGTTTATTATATTGGGCCAGGCGAGAAGACTCTGCAGCAATACGTTCGAAAATATCATTTACAAAGCTATTCATAATAGACATAGCCTTACTAGAAATACCAGTATCTGGATGCACCTGTTTTAAAACTTTGTAGATGTAAATGCTGAAACTTTCCTTCCTACGCTTCCTCTTTTTGCGTTTATCACCGGTACGAACAGCCTTTTGTGCCTTGCCGGCTTTTTTTACAGCTTTTCCACTTGGTACGGGAGGCATAATTGCATTAACAAAACAACTCTAATAATTCAAATCGAGAATGGTCCAATTTCGCTTTTTGAAACTTACACTTTCTACGCGAAAGATAATAACACGTAAATAGCGGACTTCTGAGAAAGCTTCAGAATTTTGAAACTCCAATTAGAATCAACCACAGTTTCGACGCCCAATCAGATTTTAATGACGTCATGATTACTGCCTTGTTTATTAAAGTTTTTGTTTCTGTTTCTGACATCAGAACTTACGAAATTTAAAAAAGGCTGAATTGCTATAGAATTGTACGAAGTATTAAATAATAGTTTGTAATATTTATTTTTTAAAATCAAGCTGGAGTTTTTGACGTTAAAACCAATTAATGCGTTTATTACCTTATTTTTTCTCCCAATTTTTATATATATATATATATTTTTTTTTTAATTATAAATCTTTATATATATATAAATCTTCATTTCAGCTATAGAATTGTACGAAGTATTAAATTCAATAGTTTTGAATATTTATTTTTTGAAATCAAGCTGGAGTTTTTGACGTTAAAACCAATAAATGCGTTTATTACCTTATTTTCCCCCCAAATTTTTCTGTTTTTTTATTTTTAATCATAAATCTTCATTTATATTTTATTATAAATCATTATAACGATTTCCGAAGAATAAAGATTGCCGGGATATTTATGTTAAAGTATGTAAAGCATAACCTTAATCATAATAAGGTTATTATTTTAACCCAATTTAGCTCTTCTTAAAAAAAAAAAAAAATTCGTAAGCTATTGAAGAACGCAAATAGAGACTGTTAAAGTAAACAAATAAATTTTTTAAGTAAACAAAATATCTATAAGTATAAATTACCTTAAATCAGCTTTGATTGTTCTGATTATTCGTTTTGTAGTCATTTGCTTATGAAAAAAAAAGAAGAAGAAGAAGCATATCTGCCTGCACCAAGGAGCAAAAACAATTTAAGGGATTTTAAGAAGTCCCCCCCCTTTTTTTGTTGCAAATACGTACATACTATCCAGGTTAAATGGAAAATCCATCTTGAGAAATTTTTCTAAAATATACATAAGCAATAACTGAAAAAATCTTGCTGAGTTAACAATTATATGAATATGAGATAGAAAAAAAAATTAGAATAATTTTTTTTATACTCTTCCTAATAGAATAAAAACAAATCTCTTTATTTTTGGTTTTTAAGTTTTGTTTTCTTTTAATTAGTTAGTTTTATAATACCTTTTATTCTGCATATTTCATTTATTTAAAAAAAAAAAATTTACAATTCTCTTTTAATTTGGAAGTAATTATGTAATTTTCTGTATTTAACAAACGCCTAGTTAGTAATAATTCTTATATCGACAATAAATTAAAATTGTAACGTATTCATACGAAGGACATGTTGTTATACGGTTAGAAAGCTTTATTTTTGATGTTTTAATATTTTTAAAATAAGACAGAAAAGGTGACTAAATATCTTCGCTTTTAATTCATTTTCAGAAAATTTGAAGATGTATAACCCGATTTCGAGGAATAAAAATAAATTTAAAAAAGGCAATTTTTAAACCTGTGTGTGTACTTTTAAATAATGCTGCATCCATTTCCCAAATTTTAAATAATTACTAAGAAATCATTCTTTTTATAAATCTACATACTTTTATTAAAAGTGGAATACTTTATTCATTAGCAACGAAATAATCCTACCAGTCCAGCGCTTTTGCAAACGATTTTCTAACTTTAAAGTATATGTGTGGAAGAAATAAAATTCTATATATTTGCAATGGAATTAATAACTTATTCTTTTTCAAATTTGATGCACCAAATTCTCAAATGTTATTCACTATTAGTATAGTAAAGTAGTAAAACGCATTCTATTCAAATGTGTTAGAAATCCTAAAGATGCATTTACAATAAATTAGAAAAAAAAAGGGAGATATCGTTTAAAAAATTAGTTACGGATTCTAAGAATAATATACATAGTTAGTCTGACAAATTTTCTCCAGAAATTTTAGCCTCGAATCCAACCAGAAAATGTATAATAAATTCTAAGTATGGTGTAAATTCCGTGTACAGTTTCAACACTTTGAAAGAAAAGAAGAAAAAAAAAAATTTTTGTTAATGGCGGGCACTTGGTTTTATTTCCTATTGGCCTCAGAAATGCTAGAATTGCTACTCTCTTATCGTTACCCAGTGAGCACCTATCCTATGGTTTCGCTTTGCTTTATTTAAAAAGAACTGGGCACCTGGGCCGCGCAGCGGCCCCTATCCCATACATACCTATCCTATGGCTAAGCCACGCATGTCATACAACCACAAACCCGTTTATAGGGCGGATTACAATCACACAGAAGAAAGGACACAGAAAGAGAAAGAAACATCCATGCCCTGAGCGGGATTTGAACCCGCAACCATCGGCTCCACAGTCAGGCACGCTAACCACTCGGCCACCTGGTCGGCAAAAAAATTATTAATACCATTACCTTTGACAAAACACCTTTTAAACGTTTTTCAATGTATTGAAAAAATATATAATTAGAAAATTTTATACATTTTGATATACTAAATTAATAAACTATTAACTACAATTTATAAACTGATCAGAGTTTCGGAATTTTATTTTATTGAAGCGATTATTGATCTCGAACTGATGAAATACTTTAAAAAAAAATCATTAACCACTCATCATTAACATTCATTAAGATATCCACTTGCTTAATAGTATTAATAATGATTTTTTTTTTTTTTTTTTTTTTTTTTTTTTTTTTTTTTTGTAAATAATAAATAAATCATCGAAGGAGTTTAATTTATGCCGAAATAAATAAATGATTTACAATAATATATACAATACTATGAAAATAAAAACTTGATTGCTGAACAATATGGTGCAATTTGAACAGAAGTTTGAACATGTCCAAGAGCTCGTGGGTTCGATCCCAGTCGGTCAAAGACTCCCCATGCAGTAAATGGTGAGTGATGCACGTTAAATCTGTCAGGTCAGAAAGTTCTCCATGTTCCCATAGCGAATCAATACCTCTGGGGGTACTGATCCAGGAGTTTCCCTGTCTTCTGGGTTGGTTCGAAATTACAAGGCTACGGAGTTTAAACATTAGTAGTCGTAAATCCAAAATTGGGTCTGCTGTTCAACGACGGTTAATGAAATAAAGTAGAAATAGAAAAATAAGTTTGTAACTTTTAATCACTGACATTTGTAACTCATTGTGTATCATCTAAAGTTAATTTGTTTGCTCACTAACGTCTTACATATCATTTGAAAGGGAATGTTTCTAAGAATAATTAGAAAAACCATTTCTAAACATATATTTTTTTGTTCACCAGCTTTTATGACGCATTGTATATAATTTTGATTTAATTTTTTGGACACTAACATTAATGACTCACTGTATATCATTTTAAAGAGAATGCTTCAGCAAAGTTAGCGTTAATTTAATCACAAAACATTAAGTAATTAAATTCCTATCAAGCATGTGGGATGTACTCAAACGAGGACGATTGTATAACTATAGCAACCCCCATCGATTTGAAAATCTGGACGAACGGCTGTGTTATTACATGCCTTAACTGTGTTATTACCTGCATGAAATCATAGTGTGAGGTCTGAATATAATTGAATTAACCCCTTATTAGCCTAATTTTTCGATTCAGTAATATTTGTTTCATATCTTTTTACTTCGATAGACCTGTCAACGTACTCATCTTGTCGACAAATTGACCTATCGATGAAATAACCCTGTCGTCAAAATGAGCCTGTTGACAAAGTGGTCTCAAGAAACGGCTTGTCGATGACATGTTTGGCGCCGAAATGAATGCGACCCTTAGCATGCAAAACTGTTAGATGGTTATGTTATTTTGTTTCTGTAATATCTTACTGTCTGCATATCTTGCTGTATGGCATATCTTGCTGTAAGGCAAATGCGAGTTAGTTTCATCAAAAAGTCTTCCACGAAGACAAATTTCTCTCAATACTAGATCCAGGAGTTCCCTTGTCTTCTGGATTGGGTTCAAAATTATCAGGCTACAAAATTGTATTTCTAAACCAAAAATTTGGTCTGCTGTTCAAATATGGTTACAAAATAAAATAAGATATTGTAGTGCTTTAGTATCGCGTTCGGCTTAGAATAAGAACTAAATGAACGTAGTTAATAGGCATAGGGTATACTTAATATTCAAGCTTGTACTGATGGTGAGGAACTATTGTCCCAGAGCCTATTGATTCAGAAGTTTCCTTGTCTTCTGAATTGGTTTAAAATTACAAGGCTACGGAGTTGAAAATTAGTAGTCGTAAACCCAAAATGCAAACTGGGTCGGCTGTTCAACGACGGATAAAATAAAACATGAATAAATGTCAAGACAATTGCGGTTAGACGGTAGTAGCCCAATGGTTAGAGAATCGGACTCCGGCCGAGAGGGGACGGGGTTTGCTCCTCGCCTCAACGAATATATGCGATAGATGTGTTTGAAAAATCTATGGACTCGAAAATCATGTGGTCGGTCGCTGAGCAGTAATGTGGATACAGGGATCTGGTAAAAAAATTTCCCTCCCTTCCAGATCTACGTCTAAATTGAGGAAGTTTCATCAAGAATGAGTGGTGTCGCCATCTATTCATGGCGTTCTGAGCCATGACGTACTTTTATTCTTGCTAAACGAAAGGAGCACCTTCCTGGCTTAATTTGCAAAAGACCTACGGGCATGCCTGGAGAGCTTGGATTGTCAAAGTGTCAATAGAAACAACAACAAGACGGGTTCGATTTCTCCATGCTAGGGGTCTTTGCTTCAAGTTAGAACTTAACTGTTTACAATTAAGGCTTATTTTGAAATGTCGTAGTTACCAGAAAAAGTCTGTAAGCGTAATTATCAAAAACCAAACCTCTTTAGTTACTTGCTTTACAAAATTAAAAGAAGGAAAAAAAAAATAGAGGCGAATACTTTTTTACATAATCGTAAATGTAGTTTTATTTATATTTGCACGCCATGTGCTTTCATGCATTAAATTTTCAAGTTTTTCGATTCTGCTTTAATCTGTCTTGTTTTTCTTTTCTTTTTAATGATTATAGTTTCAAAATCTTACTAATAGCACTGTAAAGTAGTCAGCAATACACAAACC